CCTTCCCTCCCCACTTAAAACGTGGTTAGAAAGCACGGATCCACATGGATCCTCAGGATTTTTGCACTGGGTCACCCCAAATTCACCATCAGATCACATAGCATGTCCATGGCTACAGCTTGCACCAAAAAAATCACGCACCCACTGTTGCCTGGGGCCGCAGTGGTGCAAAAACGTGGTTACAAAGCATGGATCCACATGGATCCTCAAGATTTTTGCATTGGGCTACCCCAAACTCACCGTCAGGTCACATGTCTGTGGCCACAGCATGAACCACAAAAATCATACATCCGCTGTTTTGTTTAGAATATTTTTTTTCTTGTTTTCCTCCTCTAAAAACTATGTGCGTGTTATGGTCGGGTGCGTGTTATAGAGCGAAAAATACGGTAGATGGCAATGGACCATTGCCATAGCAACTGGCTTGGTTGACCCAGCACCTGATGACTCATCTCATACATGTGGTGATTTGGGCCCATGAAAGAAATTAACCTCATCCTCCATGTCCACGGGAGGCTCTACTTTCAACATCCCACCATTGAGAGAGCTGTCCATTTATTCCCACTCTCTGCTTCCTGATCTTTAACCACTTCCTAATTTATAAGAGGACCTCTTTTGTTATTCCATGACTCCTATGCTTAGGTGAGGCTTTGGTGAGGCTGTGTGTGTGTGTGCGTGTGTGTGTGTGTGTGTGTGTGTGTGCAAAGAGTTTACTTAAAAGTCTAAGGGCATGGCTTCTGTGACAAAATCTGGACAATGTGTGGGCAGTTTCACAATACATCTTGCAAAACAGAGAGGAAGGGTGTTCCAAACGTCGATGAAAGCTACTTCACATCCATCAGCACAGATGTATGCTGTGCGCAGTAAAGATTGTAGTCTAATCTGTCCAATTACCTGGGAGTAAATCTCACTGTGTTCAAAGGGATTTACTTCCAAGGAGACATAGCTGGGCAGTGGTATTTCCCCTTGGTTTGTAGTTTTGCCCTTTGAAACAGGGTGTGTGTGTCATTTTTGTGGCAGTGGCGGTGCAGCTCAAAATGTCCATCAGGTGGGGGCCATTTTCCGTAGCAGGGTATCTTTCATTCTTAGAACCGTTGAGAAGTTGCCACCCATGGACATGGCAAATTTGTTTTACTCTCACCTCCTCATCCCCTCCTGTGTTTAAAATTAAAGCTGCAGCAACCGAAGCAAAAAAAAAATAAAAAAATGTCCCCACTTCCTGGAGAAGAAATCCTGTCTAAGAAAAAAATAAAGGAGCTGATCCACCACTATGTTAAGTGTTCCTCCCTCCCCTGAAATTGATGGACTGACTGGCAGCAGCTCTTAGTGGTTTCAGACGAGGGTCTCTCCCAACCCTACCTGATGATGCCCAGAGATTGAACCTGAGACGTTCCCCATGCAAAGGAGATACTCTACCAATGAGCTGTGGCCCTTCTGCAAAAGAGGCACTGCTTTGGAAGGGAACATAGGCAGCTTAGACTGAATGAAACTACTGGTCCATCTAGCTCAGTAATGTCTACATATTTGGGCAGTGGTTCTCCAGGTTTCCAGGCATGGGTCTCTTCTGGCCCTATCCAGACATGGCGGGGATTGAACCCGCGGTCTTGGGGGATGCAGCGGTCTGGCTGCACACTGGCTGCCCAATCAATTCCCCTTTGTAATACACCGAGAGCTGCAAAGGTTTATTCGTTGCCGTTGCTCCTTGTGATCTTGCTATCAAAGGTTCATTGTGTCACTGTCACTGCTAGGTTGTTCCTTTCCATGTTATTCTGTGTTGCTTTTGTTTAGCTGTCAGGAGATGGTTTATCACATGACAAGCAAGGATATATAACTGAAGTCCCAGGAATATCCACACAATAAGAACTCCATAGGAAGGTGTGTGTGCATTCTTGCGGCTTCTCTCTCCCCCACCTCCTCCCATATAGCAAAACTTGAAGAAATCTAAATGTAAGATTGCTGCGGTTCACACAGGAATATCGCATAGATTTGCACTGCTCCCAGGAGGACTCTGGATTATACAATACCCATCCAAATGAATATGTAGTTTTTCATCTGAGACAGCTGTGATATTGACAATCTTCTGCATTCAATAAATCATCCAAGTATAACTCAATGGGCCCTACTAATCTTCACTGAATTTAACTGTTTTGTGAACGTCGGTTTGAAAAGAATACAAAAGGAGAGAAGGGGAATATTGCAAGGGGAATTTGGACTATTGTGTCTGAAGCTCGGAGCTCGGAGTCTGGCGCTCAACTGCCATCCCAGAATCATCATCATCATTATTTCTTTTGCTTCATTGTCATTGTGTACGTGGTGCTTCCAATTTACTTGGGTGCAAATTCAAAAGCCTCTGTATGGTTTGCATCCAGCTGTGTGACATATTTTGCCAAATGAACACCCTGGTGTTCCCCCTCCTCCTGTGCTATGTGGCTGTCTTTGCTCAGGAAGGGAGGGCATTAATTGTATTCTGCCATCCTTGCTGGGTCCATCTCACAGGTTACTTAATTAAGTGCTCATCTCTGGTGATCAAACTGGGAGGAAAGTGCCAAGAGTGGGGAAATGGAATAAATGGAGATGGGATAAAAGATAATTAAGGAACCAGCACAAGACAGTCCTTCTCCCATGTGAACTCCCCCTCTCCAACCGCCCTGGCATAAGCCCATATGGCCACAGGGAGCCAAGTGAAGCCAGTGCACAATTTGACAAGATAGCAGAGAGTGGTGAATGGATTGATATGTTGCCTGATATGTTGTCTGGAACTATGTCATTGAGAGAGGGAATGTTTGACACTTTCTTCCTGTGCCTGCCAGGGCTGTCTCTACCACCAGAGAGAGACAACTAGGGATGGTGCAGAAATCCGGTTCAGTTTCCCATAACTATCTATCTATCTATCTATCTATCTATCTATCTATCTATCTCTATCTATCTCTATCTATCTATCTATCTATCTATCTATCTATCTGTCTATCTATCTATCTATCTATCATCATCTACAGTGGTACCTCGGGTTAAGAACTTAACTCGTTCTGGTGGTCTGTTCTTAACCTGAAACTGTTCTTAACCTGAAGCACCACAGCTAATGGGGCCTCCTGCTGCCACCACACAGCTGCCGCACGATTTCTGTTCTCACCCTGAAGCAAAGTTCTTAACCTGAAGTACAGTTTTTGGGTTAGCGGAGTCTGTAACCTGAAGCGTAAGTAACCTGAAGCATATGTAGCTTGAGGTACCACTGTATCTATCTATCTATCTATCTATCTATCTATCTATCTATCTATCTATCTCTATCATCTCTGTCTCTGTCTCTGTCTCTGTCTCTGTCTCTGTCTCTGTCTCTATCTCTGTCTCTATCTCTATCTCTATCTCTATCTCTGTCTCTATCTCTGTCTCTGTCTCTCTATATATACCCCGCGCATCTGGCTGCATCAAATTTCTCCCATCATTCAGTGAAACTGAATCTTGGAAGATTCAAGGTGGACAAAAGGAAGTGATTCTTCACACAGTGCATAGTTAAATTACGGAATCTGCTATCACAATGTGTAGTAGGTGCAGGACACCAACTTGGATGGATTTCAAAGAGGTTTAGACCAATTCATGGAGGAGAAGGATATCAAGGGCCCCAAGCCATGGTGTCTATGTTCTACCTCCACTGTCAGAGGCAGTAATGCCTCTGAGGACCTGCTGATAGGAATCACAAGGGATTCCCATGGCCATCTGGTTCGCTCCTGTGAGAAGAGGATGCTAGACTAGATTGGCCATTGGTCTAGTCCAGGGGTCTGCAACCTTTAAGACAAAAAGAGCCACTTGGACCCATTTCCGAAGAAAAAAAAACTGGGAGCTGCAAAACTCGTCATTATAAAAATAACTTTTTGGTCACTTTTTTATTATTTCTTTGTTTGACCCCTCAGAATTACTCCTCCTCATAGAAATAAACGTTAAATTAACAAGTTACCTTTGTGTGTGTGTGTGTTCTTCACTCCCCTTCAAAACAGTGACCAGCGTACATGCCCCCTTTCAATGCAGTGACCAGCGTACATGCCCCTTACAATGTAGCAGGCGGGCGGGTGGGAAGGTGACGTCGGGACGGTGCTTGACTAACGCACGCACCGCCCCCATGTGACGTCGCAGCCAGTACAGCGCCCGCCACAGTGGGGAGTGTCGGGGCGCACAATGCGCCTCCTCCTCTCGCTAGTATCCGCGGCAAAGGTGTAAAAGAGCCACATGCGGCTCTGGAGCCGCGGGTTGCCGACCCCTGGTCTAGCAGGTCTGATGTTAGATGTGGTGGAGAATGGCATCTGGTGGTGGGTGGTGCCCATCTGGACTCGTTGGGTTGAAGGCGGGGAGTGTCATGGCCCAGGACTCAGCTTCACCTCCTGAGCAAAAGCCTGAAGGAGCAGAATTAAACCAGGGATTTTCTGCTCCCAAGGCAGAGGCTCTACCACTGAACTCAGTTTGGTGGGGGTAGAGAATACGGCCTTCTTAGTAACAGCAACCCAACGTCCCACGGCTGCCACAAGTTTGGGAAAGCTTTGAGAGCAGGCTGACAGCAATATATAAACCGAGAGCAAGAAGATTCACAGAAGAGTTAATTAAGAAAAGTGTCAAGTTGCTTTGAGCGCGAAAGGAAAAGTAAGATATACACTTTATGGAACGAATGAACGAGGAGACATCATTTCTTTATACTGCCTGGAGGAAGCACAAATTAGATGTTAGAGAAATCTAGATTGTCACAACAATAAAGGGAAAGTGTTAACGGAGAGTTAATTATATTATTAAGGCTGTGATCCTAAGGATACATTCTTTGGGGGAAGTAAGTTCCACAGAAATCAATGAGACTTACTTCCAATTAAAGGTGTTGGGGCTATAAAACTAGTCAAAATCCTTAGAGGGCTTTAGAGAAAAACAACACACAGTAACCCTGATTGGATTTCAGCATCACCAGAGAGTCATAAAACAGCACATTAGTTCAGACACCTTATGCTTGCCCTCGTCCCTCTTCTCCTTGGCTCTGTCTTTCTGAGTATCTTTATCAGCAGCTCTCTTGATTACCCAACAAGCAGCTCTTCTAATTGGATCATGCTGCAAATTCACTCTCTTCAATGGGAAACGTGTTTCTTCCGCCTTTTTTTAACAATCTAACAAGTGGGACCTGTAACAGAATGTTGCAGTGAGAAGAATTCCTGTTTAGGATTCCAGCCAGCCAGAACACACCCTTTTCCAGGATCACTGAGTCATAGAACTGTAGAGTTGGAAGGGACCACGAGGGTCATCTAGTCCAACCCCCTGCAATGCAGGATCCTTTTTCCCAATGTTGGGCTCAAACTCATGAAGCTCATGCTCTAATACCTTAGCAATCCCAACTATTTAAAGCAATCCATCCTGACCTGAACATAGACAACACACACACACACACACACCAATAAAAAGAGAAAATCAACTTCTATTCAAAAACTGCATTATGTAAACTTCCTTATGCTGGGATTGAGCCATTAGAAACAGACAATCAAGAACTGTTGATGCCAACTTCTCAATGGGATACTCCATCTCATTGCCCTAAAGGTAAAGGTAAAGGGACCCCTGACCATTAGGTCCAGTCATCACCGACTCTGGGATTGCGGCGCTCATCTCGCTTTATGTGGCCAGCATGACTAAGCTGCTTCTGGCGAACCAGAGCAGCGCACAGAAATGCCGTTTACCTTCCTGCCGGAGTGGTACCTATTTATCTACTTGCACTTTGATGTGCTTTCGAACTGCTAGGTTGGCAGGAGCAGGGACTGAGCAACGGGAGCTCATCCCGTCGCGGGGTTTTGAACCGCCAACTATCTGATCAGCAAGTCCTAGGCTCTGTGGTTTAACCCACAGTGCCACCCACATCTCATTGCCCTACTCTGCCATTATTCAGCCCCCCAGCCCCCTGACATAAGAGCCCTGCTAGAACAGGCCAAAGGCCCATCTAGTCTAGCACTCTGTCCTCATAGCAGTCAGCTAGATGCCTGCGGGAAGCCTGCACAAAGAAAGCTAGCACACCAGGGAAAGTAGGGTTCCAGACTAGAGGTCTCCCTGACAACCTGTATTCTGTGGTGCACGTGAGTTGAATGCGAATGCATGGCAAGCAATGCAGCAGGCATTTCCTGGGAAAGGCCAGAGATCGGTGGTAGAACATCTGCCTTGCATTCAGAAAGTCCCAGGTTTGATCCCCATGTAGGGCTGGGGGAAAATGCCTGAAATCCTGGATAAACATGGTTGGACTGTGTCAATAATACAGTGGTACCTCTGGTTATATACTTAATTTGTTCTGGAGGTCCGTTCTTAACCTGAAACTGTTCTTAACCTGAAGCACCACTTTTCTGAGCATGCAAATTATATTCTTAGAGAGAGGTGGGTTTGTGGAAGAGGTCTGAATCTGAGACAATCCAGATTAATATCCTTTATTTATTTGTAAGATTTATTTCCCATCCTTCACCATAAGGTCCCAGGGTGGGTTACAACAACACAGTGTACAGTGGTACCTCGGGTTAAGTACTTAATTTGTTTCGGAGGTCCGCTCTTAACCTGAAACTGTTCTTAACCTGAAGCACCACTTTAGCTAATGGGGCCTCCTGCTGCCAGAGCACGGTTTCTGTTCTCACCCTGAAGCAAAGTTCTTAACCCGAGGTACTATTTCTGGGTTAGCGGAGTCTGTAACCTGAAGCGTATGTAACCCGAGGTACCACTGTAGTACAAGGGAGCTCCCTGAGTTCCTATGCCTAGGCTTTCTGAGCCTTATGACTTGCTATGCATGGTGGCAGAAAGCACACTTACTACCCCATTTTAAAACAACAATAGTGGCGGCTTTTAAAAACAAAAACACCCTGACAAAATTCTATTTTACACAAAGCTTTCTTTCTCTCCACCCGCCCCCAACGTTTCTCTTCATTTGGATCATATATCTTTTGCTCCCTACAGAAAAGGATCATTTCCCTGCCTTGTGGACCAATTTCCATCTCTACACTATGCCTGGGTCTTATCCGTTACAGGCTCCTTACAAAAGAAAGAGGTTCTTAACGTGTCTGAGCACCTGTGTTCCCACCAGGGAGAGAGCTGGATGGATTAGGGGTAAGGGATCACTAGAAATGTATCTTTGTTCTGGGATCAGCCATTAATAGGGTTTTATGTAGAAGGAGCAAGCAAAATCCCTTGGAGATTCTTTCCAATTATATCCCCTATTAGGAGAGAAAGAGTTTTATTGCATTTTTATTTGGCCTGTGCTTCCTTAAGGAGAGTCATAAACACGAGGCTTCTTGATGCCGCCGATGTTCGTTATTTTAAAAAATTAACTGACCCCCCCTTATAAACTAGTTAAAGACTTGATATATATTATAAAGCTCACACATTACACTAGCATTTCCTCAATGTAACACTTTTTATCTTTTTCCAAGAGACAAGAGACGTAGACAGTTGTTACCATAATAATCACAGAGCAGAGACAAATTCAGCTGCACATATGAACTTCATAAGGGATGCAGGTGGCGCTGTGGTCTAAACCACTGAGCCTCTTGGGCTTGCTAATCAGAAGGCCAGCAGTTTGAATCCCTGCAACGGGGTGAGCTCCCGTTGCTCGGTCCCTGCACCTGCCAACCTAGCAGTTCGAAAGCACGCCAGTGCAAGTAGATAAATAGGTACAGCTGCAGCGGAAAAGTAAGCAGCATTTCTGTGTGCTCTGGCTTCCATCACGGTGTCCTGTTGTGACAGAAGCGGTTTATTCCTGCTGGCCGCATGACCCAGAAAGCTGTCTGTGGACAAATGCCGGCTCCCGTGGCCTGAAAGCGAGCTGAGCGCCACACTCCATAGTCACCTTTGACTGGACTTAACACTCAAGGGGTTCTTTACCTTACTTCATGATTTTCACGAGCATTTTCAGAAGTCCTGAAATCATCTCCCATTTCTCCCCCTCCTTTAAGCTCATTGAAAAAACATTTACTTGTTCCTTCCTTTGCTTTTACTTTTATTTCCTTTGACATCTCCTGAATGACATCAACACATAGTCAAATCCGATTGCAACAGCATCTTGTATATTGCATGGTTCATGATTGGTTGAGACCAATTGAGTTGACACTTTTGAAACTATGTTGTAATTCTCATAGAAGAAATAACCCACATTTGTGCTGTGGAGGTTAGGAACATAGGAATCTACCTTATACCAACACAAGCTATTAGCCTGTTTAGCTCTGTATAGTCTACACTGACACTGAGTAGTACTCTGGGGTTTCAGACAGAGCCTTTCCTAGCTCTGGTTGGATTGCTAGGGATTGAACCCAAGATCTTCCAAAGTTAAATCATCTGCACTATCATTGACCTGCAGCCTATCTGAACAGTGAAGGTGTGATTTCTGTTTTTGTGGCTGCATGAGAATTGTCTGGGAATCGAACTCAGGAATAATTGCATTTGTAATAAGACTCTTGCCCTTTGACTATGGGTGGGGCATCTGTGGCTACCCACACATTGTTGCACTACAACATATCATCCCTCACCATTCACCATGCAGGCCAGGGCTGACGGGAGTTGGAGTCCATCTGGAGGGCCACAGAGACATTGGGGAAGGAGAAGGGGAAGAGTTCTGTTGTGTGAGCAGACCTCTTGCCATGCATGCAACAGCTTAGCTGGGTTGCTACTTGCTAGGGTAGCCTTTGGTCCAGCTTTGTAGAGGAAGGTCTGTAATCTAAATAGCTTTCAGAAGAAAATCCTGCGTTTGAAAGACTGCCTGGTCCAACACCAGATTAAAGATAAAGAACCAGAAAGATAAAGATAAAGAAGTTGTCAATCAGCAATGAGCAACTGGACTGTAGAATAAGCTGTGATACCATCCACCTGGTCACTCTCTTCTCTGCTTTGATACATTTCTTGTTTCCTTCATTAAAAGATTTTTATTCATTGCTCAGTGGAATCTTCCTTCTCCTTCTCCTTCTCCTTCTCCTTCTCCTTCTCCTTCTCCTTCTCCTTCTCCTTCTCCTTCTCCTTCTCCTTCTCCTTCTCCCCTTGTGCCACTTTAGTAACTCTTCTTGCAAAACCTGGTGCCCTTTTCACCCTTTCCTCCAGCTTTCTAAACAAAACAGTACTCCGTCAGCCTCCTCACTGCCTTCGGTTTAGACGGGTCATTAATTAGAAATTTGAGAAGCTGTGCGTTTAGATTTAAACCTAATTGGATATTTGTGAACCAAATGTCAAAGCCTCGGATTCAGGTCAGTGACTCCATGGCACCTTGATATCTCTTTTACGCCTCATATACATGGCCAACATTTTGCTTCCTGAGGGGTGGGTTGCCCTTGAAGAGTACCCACGGAAAAATATTGTCTTAGTCTCAAAGCTGCTACATCCTACACTCTATTCCAGCCCATCCTTATGGGTCATGCAAGGGCCAGAAGATAGTGGTAATAACCAAATCCCTGACAGCGGGTTTCATTCAGCTAAGTTCTACCCATGAAATTAATGATCCTAAGTTAGGCCCTATCTGAACGATAAATTTAAAAGCAGTATCATATCACTTTCAACAGTCATGGCTCCCCCCAAAGAATCTTGGGAACTGTACTTTGTGAAGGGTGCTGAGACCTGTTAGGAGACTACTATTGCCTTCTCAGAGCTACAGCTCCTAGAATTCTCTGGGAAGAGGGATGGACTGTTAAACCATTCTTGGAACTATAGCTCTATGAGGGGGATAAAAGTCTCCTAACAGCTCTCAACCTCCATAACGGTCTACAGCTCCCAGCATTCTTTAGGGGAAGCCATGACTGTTTAAAGTGGTGATACCGTTTTAAAGATGTTGTGCAGACGGGGCCTTATTAATGCCCATTAACTTAAATGAGTTGACTCTTGAGTATGACTAGCAATGAATACCACCCAACCTGTTTGTGTTCTGACATGCTACATAGTTCCCACCCATCCTTATTTGATGTCAAGGTTTGGGGTGATTTATTGAAATTTTACTTTGCCTTAGCAGTAGGGAAGTTCGTGTCACTTTTTAAATGGAATAGAACATGAAAGAAGATCTATAGCATCGGTCCTGTGTGGATAGTGCCATTACAACATTTAGCCACTAGGTAGCACTGGATTTAGCTGCACCTGAGTAGAGTCAGGAGTTACCTGTTGCTGTCCTTGTTCAAGAGAGACAATAAAGTTCTTTTCTAGCTTCCTGGCCGACTACTACGTCCTCCATTCCTTCCACGACTGAAACCAAACACTGGCAATTTGCAACAATCTGCACTTAGATTTCGTTGTGATGGGGAGGAGGCACACGAAGGAGGCGGCAGGGGAGCGGGGAGAAGAAGCCTAGATCAATTCACAGCAGCTTGTATAGCTAGAAACCATTCATTCTTTTTTTACGAGGCTCATTTGCATTTATACCCTTTCCTGCTGTTGCTGAGTAGGCCCCTTTCACTTGCCCTGAATCTACGACTGCTCAGGGGGTGCTTAAGTAGCTGCTTCCCACTGATATATTGATTATCCCTCTAATTAGATCCCAGATCTGTACGTGGGCTAACAGAACCGATTTATCTGAATGGCATTTATTTATTTATCTATCTTTCTATCTAGCAGGGAGGAGGAGGAGGAGGGGGTCTGTTGGGAAAGGGGTTCGACTAATTAATTCTACAGGGATGCCTTTTCTTTCTTGCGTTGTGGGAGAAAGTACATCTCCTTGGGCTTCCATTAGGTTAAGATGACTTTTATTTTTTAGCATCGGAAATGGCTCTGGATGCCTTTGGATGCGCATACGTGAGGAGCACCTAAGTGCGCCATCTTCCTCATTCACCCCAATGGAGAACAGAGTTCCTTGCGCATGTGAGGATGGGACACATTCACGGAGCAAAAGCCTATCAATGACCACTAGTCGTGATGGCTGTGCTCTTCCTGCACTCTGAGAGGCTGCTAGCTAGACTCTTGGGCTGGGTTATTGTTCATGGGGGCAAGAGGCAGGAGCAGGTCAGGAATAACTCACAAAATGTCACTGAAGTTAACTCCTTATTCAAAGAAACAAAAGAGCTCAGGCTTAGTGATCACAGGCCCAGATAGTCAGTGTTGAAGAGCCTAGATAGCTCAGTTGGTTAGAGTGTGGTGTTATCCTAGATAGCCAGTGGTTAGGTGGTGTTAATAATGCCAAGGCTGCAGGTTCAATCCCTGCACGGGAAAGCTGCATATTCCTGCATTGCAGGCGGTTGGACTAGATGATCCTCAGGGTCCCTTCCAACTCTACAGTTCTGTGATTCTGTGACTCTTGGGCTGGGTTATTGTTCATGGGGGCAAGAGACAGGAGCAGGTCAGGAATAACGCACAAAATGTCACTGAAGTTAACTCCTTATTCAAAGAAACAAAAGAGCTCAGGCTTAGTGAGCACAATAACTCGGGTTATGTACTTAACTAGGCAATTCGATCCAGGGCCTGACGACTTGCACAGTCCAGCCACGTGCTTCTGCAGTCCATGCCCAGGGGCAAAAAGCAGATCGTGCTTTTTTTAAAAAAAGAAAGAGGGAAGGGGGTGTTGAAAAAAAGCGCTGAGCAGCTGATCAGCAAGCGATCGGGAGGGGAGACAAGGGACTCTAGCGATAAAGGAGGGGGAGGTAAAAGCACCTGGATCCTCAGGATTTTTGCATTGGATCACCCCAAATTCTCCATCAGATCACATAGCATGTCCATGGCTACACGCTGCACCAAAAAACCCACGCATCCACTGTTTCGTGGGGCTGCAATGGCACAAAAACGTGGTTACAAGGCACGCGTCCACATGGATCCTCAGGATTTTTTCATTGTGCTACCACAAACTCATCGTCAAATTACCTATCATGTCTGTGGCCACAACATGAACCATAAAAATCATACATCCAACTGTTTTGTTCAGAATATTTTTTTTCTTGTTTTCCTCCTCTAAAAACTAAATGCGTCTTATGGTCAGGTGTGTCTTATGGAGCGAAAAATATGGTAAGCTCCATTGGACTCCGTGGGACTTCTGAGTGCAGACACTCAGGACTGCACTGAAAGTATCTTTCAGCAGGGTCAAAATGGGCTTTCACCCTACGATGGAACTGCAAACCCCGGAACGGCTTATCAGAGGAATGTGGATGCATGAACATGTTAAAATGCTGTCAGATGTCCATGTGGAGATGGCAGTATCGAGTCAGTGCTTCTGGCTTGCACTCCTTATAAAGATTTGAGGAATGAGGTTATAACCCTTCTACTACTGTCCATGCTGGGTCACTCAACCATTGCTACAGTGTCCTTTCTTCTAGCAGATCAAGATAATCAGGTAACAGCAAAAACTGCAAATTTTTTAACAGGGGCAATTAAAATAAGATCTATTATTTGATTATTGATGTTAACCTCCAAAATGCATTTTGTATAGTTAAGTTTTTACCTCCATCTTCAGTACTGTGGTACCTCGGGTTACATACGCTTCAGGTTACAGACTCCGCTAACCCAGAAATAGTACCTTGGGTTAAGATACTTTCTGGTACTAATTCTGATTACCAGGCACACTTGCAGAACCCGGCCTTGTGCTTTTGCACAGTCAAGAGACAGACTGCATCTGACAGGTCAGGTCAGAAGAATCTTTTTTCGCACCAGCCACTAGCCATAGCAATAAAATAAATTACAATGTACTGTACAGTAGTGAGCACAATAACTCGGCTATGTACTTAATCTGGCAATTTAATCTGGATTACCAGGCACACTTGCAGAACCCGGCCTTGTGCTTTTGCACAGTCAAGAGACAGACTGCATCTGACAGGTCAGGTCAGAAGAATCTTTTTTCGCACCAGCCACTAGCCATAGCAATAAAATAAATTACAATGTACTGTACAGTGGTACCTAATTTACCTAATTTAGACATCACCTTGCCAACAAAGGTCCGTATAGTTAAAGCTATGGTTTTCCCAGTAGTGATGTATGGAAGTGAGAGCTGGACCATAAAGAAGGCTGATCGCCAAAGAATTGATGCTTTTGAATTATGGTGCTGGAGGAGACTCTTGAGAGTCCCATGGACTGCAAGAAGATCAAACCTATCCATTCTTAAGGAAATCAGCCCTGAGTGCTCACTGGAAGGACAGATCCTGAAGCTGAGACTCCAATACTTTGGCCACCTCATGAGAAGAGACGACTCCCTGGAAAAGACCCTGATGTTGGGAAAGATTGAGGGCACAAGGAGAAGGGGACGACAGAGGATGAGATGGTTGGATAGTGTTCTCGAAGCTATAAACAACAACAAATTTACACTTAGGAGTGCCTGGCGTGCTCTGGTCCATGGGGTCACAAAGAGTCAGACACAACTAAACAACAACAAATTTACACTTAGGAGTGCCTGGCGTGCTCTGTTCCATGGGGTCACAAAGAGTCGGACACGACTAAACGACTAAACAACAACAACATCAATTTACACTTCTCAAACCAAAATATGAACTGAAACACAGCTATTCTTCCCAATTTGCACTTCTCCGAATTTTGAGATGCCGTTCTGCAACTGAACAACAATGTACACAAATGTACATATTATCGGGGAGGAAGTGTTCATGAAAATGCATATATTTTAAATGGCATGCAAAAGCACAACATAAATCTCAAGGGGTTATTTTCAACTTCCCAGGACAAGTTCTTGTGTCCCGTCTCCTCGTCTTGTTGAAATATGTGAGGAAGAAACAAATATTCAACAGTATACTAAGAATGCTCTATAGTAACAATTTATAGCAGAGTTAAGGATTTAAAAGCTCGTACATCAACAGCAGCATTGCAGGACAATTTAATAACGGCAAATGGAAGAAAATGGGATTGCTGAGTTTGAAACTGGTTTGGGAAGATGCTCTGAAACAGCTATTCTGGATGCACCTTGATCTCATCATTTGAATTTCAGGGAAAGGCACCTTTGGAAAGATTTACATTCACTTACATTTAGTGAGAGGTGCTGGGGTTATAAATCAGAGAGCCACCATCTCCAGAAGCTTAAACAGCTCCAAAAGGTTAAGTAGAAGATATAAAAATGTTATGATGTGTTTGTTACGGCCCTTCGAAAAGGAAAGTAACGAAGCAGGTAGGACAGCAAGGTTACTCGAATATCAGGCAGACAATACCAGGGATATCAGGAACACAAACCCCAGGGAAACTTGGAGCAATGGGGCATGGACTCCAAAAGTCTAGTAGCCAAAGCTCCAGTGAACAGGAAATTCCACCTGGCAATAAAGGAAGGCAATGCTTGTAACCAGTTAGATGGGTTAAGTAGGGTTTTGCACCATGTTTGGTCAAAGGCCAAGTCCTGAACTGAGTCATGCCGATTCAGGGGATGTGGGTTTCGGCTGACTTGGGGGAGACAGCTCCAGATCACCTTGGATCAATCTCCTGGAGTAATACAGAACTGCCAAGGGATGGGGTGTTGGGCAGGAAGAAAGATGAGGGAGGAATTAGTTTGGTCTGCATTTTGCAGTGGAACAAACCAATCCAATGTCCTGCACTTTATCAGATTTTGCATAGCCACTTCTGCCTTAGGAGGAGGTGGAGTTGTGGGCAGTCACGACCCCTCCATGTACGCAGGGGTGTGGTCAGCCCTGTGCGATTGGGGGGATTCCCGGCTGCGTCACTGCCCAGGCAACCAAGCCGATTGCTCTGGGGGTGTGGCATGCTTGATTGGGAATCTCACCCCTTTTTGCACTTCCAGCAGTTCTGGTTTTCCCACCCACCCAGGTCTTTTCATCTCTTGACCTTGCTATGGACTTTGGTTGGTCGCCGTTGAGGGCCTGGTAGGACTTTTTCCACTTGGCAAATTGGCACCGGCCACTTGGTTTTCGCCTACCTCGTAGCAAATCGTCACAACTTTGTAAGGTTTGGCAGTTAGGCACTGGAATATTGCTGAAGAAGAGAAAAGGGGAGGTAACACCATCACCTCCCCTGCACATTGAAGGGTATTCTGTTAAAGGATTCCGGGGGTGTTGCCCTGTCCGAAGCCTGGGGAGGCTAGGGCCTAAGGCGCGACCCCTATCAGTGGCCCGGGGGGGGGGCGCTCCTAGTTGATGTGCATCAGCAGAACTCCCCCTACTGGTGGTTAACCCTACACACACACACACACACACACACACACACATTCTACAAGGTTTAGAAGTGCTTTTAAACAAACTAAGCATGGGAAAGCATGCATTTTACAATTTAAAAGTGTGCATTTTGTATACCAAGGGAATACAGAATGCATGCAATTTAAATGTGGGCATTCTTTGCATTGTTTAAAAGTATCCACACAACATAAAATGGAATGGGCGTATGACTGTGTTCCAGCGAGACTGAAATGTCATGGAATTGGCTGCTCATTCTATCCCTATCGAAAAGGCACCAGCCACTCACAGGAGGTGGGTTTCCAGCAGACTTGGGGTAAATCTGAGGTTTGCAGATGCTCAAAATATATTAAGACACAAAACCAGCCCAATAAAGTGTTAATTCAGGATTTTCTTTGGTCTCATCCGCTCATCTGGGCACTGATTCATTTCCCTGCCTTTCTAAACTACCCATCTTCTCAATTTCCTTTCGCTACAAGTTGCATCCCAGGATAAAACCCATAAGTTCCACCTAGGAGTGGGGTGGGGGAATTCGATTCCATTCACATTTCAGTGTAAACTTCCTAGATTTTCACTTTCCAAAACATTACGTGATCTGAAACAGTCACCTTTTGAAATCTGCAGTTCTGTGGATTTTGCAACACAGTTCTCCAGCCAAGTAATGTTTTAAAAATGCATGTGCTACCACAAAATGTGCACATCGATGCATATATTATTGAAAGCAACATACCAAAACACAATATTGTAGGAGGAAACGCTTTGCAAAAATGTGTACATTAAGCAGAACTGCATACAAAATTGAGTATGTAATGTGAAATTTGCACTAAAATATGGTGGGTTTTCATGGGCCCTTAAAAATAATAATGATCACAAACTGATATGTAAATCTGGAGAACTAAATTTAAGACTGGAAATTTGAGAAACTGAAACTGACCCATTCGACTATTCCTAATTACGCCTGCTTAGCCATAGTAATCTCCTTTTAGAACCATTTGCCACCTTTTAACCCGGCAAATTATGGACAGTCTAGTCATTCACTCTATTGGTTGGGCAAAATAAGTAGGTCATGCTACAGCCACATTCTACGGGTGTTACACATCATTTCAGCTACAATGCACGGACTTGGAAAATAGGTCACTAATGCTTAATGGTTATTATAGCCCATTATACAGCAATTTCAGTTTTCAGAGTGGGGCTGACAGGCAAAATTACAATGCTATGCATTTATTACTTTCAAAAACAACAACATCACTTCTTCTTTTTACTGAAAACACACATGCTGCTGTATTTCACTGTGTCACTTGGTTCTGGTTTTTCTCCCTCTGCAAACACTTATTTTTGAAATGGGAGGAAAGGCTGGTTTGAACTATGCTCATGCGCATAGTTCTGTCACCGGTATAATAATAATAATATAATAATTTATTATTTATACCCCGCCCATCTGGCTGGGTTTCCCCAGCCACTCTGGGCAGCTTCCAACAAAATATTAAAATACAAAATATTAAAATGGTCTGTTAAACATTAAAAGCTTCCCTAAACAGGGCTGCCTTCAGATGTCTTCTAAAAGTCTGGTAGTTGTTGCTCTCTTTGACATCTGGTGGGAGGGCGTTCCACAGGGCAGGTGCCACTACCAAGAAGGCCCTCTGCCTGGTTCCCTGTAACTTGGCTTCTCGCAGTGAGGCAACCACCAGAAGGCCCTCGGTGCTGGACCTCAGTGTCCGATGGGGGTGAAGACGCTCCTTCAGGTATACTGGACCTGCTGGTGATGTTTTCCTCTTTCCCGGTTTTCCCCCCCACGAGAAACAAATCAGGAGAGAACGAAAACACATAATTTTTGTGTTTGTGCCCCAAATACATTTCCCTACTGATTATGAACACCCTGTTCAAACTATGAGCAGCTGACAACCTTGTCCTCGAAACTACTACCACTAGATTAATTTGACATGTGCTACGTGGGGCTGCCCCAGAGGTTGGCCCCGAAGCTGCAACTGGGCTAAGCTTGAAGGGCTGGTACTTGTATTCAAAGTCCTATACAGCTTGGGACAGGGATACCGAAAAGATCACCGCACCCCTTGTATACCCAACTGATCGCTCCATCACATCAGGAGGCCTTTTCCATTCGATGTAGGAATCAGGTCTTTGGTATGGCAGCTAAAGAACTCCTTCCCATTGTATATTAGCAAGGACATGTGTGACACGATGCAGTGCTCCCCTACAATTAAATATAATACTGGAAAGGACCCCTATAATCCCCACTGCACCCTAGGGATATAGGTAAAGGTAAAGGGACCCCTGACCATGGTGACAGCAGCCACGAAATTAAAAGACGCCTGCTCCTTGGGAGAAAGGTGATGGCAAACCTAGACAGCATCTTAAAAAGCAGAGACATCACCTTACCAACAAAGGTCCGTATAGTTAAAGCTATGGTTTTCCCAGGAGTGATGTATGGAAGTGAGAGCTGGACCATCAAGAAGGCTGATCGCCGAAGAATTGATGCTTTTGAATTATGGTGCGGGAGGAGACTCTTGAGAGTCCCATGGACTGCAAGAAGATCAAACGTATCCATTCTTAAGGAAATCAGCCCTGAGTGCTCACTGGAAGGACAGATCCTGAAGCTGAGGCTCCAATACTTTGGCCACCTCATGAGAAGAGAAGACTCCCTGGAAAAGACCCTGATGTTGGGAAAGATGGAGGGCACAAGGAGAAGGGGACAACAGAGGACGAGATGCTTGGACGGTGTTCTCGAAGCTACAAACATGAGTCTGACCAAACTGCGGGAGGCAGTGGAAGACAGGAGGGCCTGGCGTGCTCTGGTCCATGGGGTCACGAAGAGTCGGACACGACTAAACGACTAAACAACAACAAAGGGACCCCTGACCATTAGGTCCAGTCGTGGCTGACTCTGGGGTTGCGGCGCTCATCTCGCTTTATCGGCCGAGGGAGCCGACGTACAGCTTCCGGGTCATGTGGCCAGCATGACTAAGCCACTTCTGGCGAACCAGAGCAGCGCACGGAAACAACGTTTACCTTCCTGCCAGAGCGGTACCTATTTATCTACTTGCACTTTGAGGTGCTTTCGAACAGCTTTCGAACTGCTAGGGTGGCAGGATATAGGAGAGCATTATTTTCAGTTCTGCCCTATATTAGTCCATGCATCATTGTTTTCATTCCGCTGCAGTTAATTTTATGCAAAATAATAATAATAATACATTATTTGCCCTGCTTTGGTTTTGGCACAATTGTGCAAATCACATGATCATTGCACAATTACAATGCAAAAGAAATGCATTGCAAAGGGGGAGAAAACTTGTAATCAATTACATATTGTTTTCAGACTGAAAGCTACAGCAACGAATCCAGACTGCATTTACTGGATTGATTTCATTTCTGGACATGGGACAAATAAGCAAAGATTGGCAATTTCCTTTCCTGTTTCTGTTTTCATTGGAATTCTCTGACACCTTTACTTCTCCCACAATGCTTTGACCACCCTGACAATCTGCGTCAAAAGGCCGTTGTATTAATTCATTAAAAAAGCACACCTTGTAAGCACACCCTTAAATGTGATGGAGAAATACATGTGCAAATAGTTAATGAAGAAGTGAGCCCAGGTCAAGTCAGGCACTTGCTAAGCCTCAATGGGAAAATCTTGGTTTACGAACATCTTGCATTTTGAATGTTGATGTTGGCTGAAAATTTAGTGGCTTGGAGGCCCACTCCTAAACTGAACCAAAAAGTGTGTTTTTATGCTTTAATCAAATGCCCACATAAAATTTCACTCCCCTGGCAGGTTAAAGAAATATACGTTTTGCATTTTAGGGAAATACTGTTCACATTTATTTTTATGGTGATTGAGAGTCCCTCCTGGAGAACAAATTGATTTCTGAAGCATTTGCTACAATAAAAAATGAATAATGCTTTGACTAACACAAACAGAGGGCTTGGAGAGGGGGGGAAAACCCATGCTCCTATGCCATGGGCAACAGAAGGGAAATCAGCCCTGAGGTTTGCGCCTTTTCCCTTTATCACCACACATTAGTCATTCTACGTTTTCCCCCTGTCACGACTGCTAATCCTGGGATGTGCTTTATGTTTAAAATGGGACTTTCCCCATCACAGCAGCATTCATGTTATCACAGAGGACTAACATTATATATTTCAAAAGCCTATTGTACAGTTAAAAGAACGGAATCGAAGCCATTGGGTGGACGAATCTATCCTTGTTGGTTACTCTTCTTTTCTCATTTTCCCCAAGTTTGGTTTGCCACGTTTCTGCATATACTTGCGATTATTAACAGCTGTCAGACACACACAAGGCAGCCTTCCCACCTGCCCACGTTTACAGGAAAGCCCAGCTGAGGACATCATGGGACTTTCAGAAAATGTGGACACACAACGAAGGCTGCAAAGAGAAGATCAAATGTTTTGCAGAATGAACGGATGGACCTTCGCCAACATCTGCCGGCCACCTCAAAAGAAAGGGAAGCGCAGCAAAAAACACAACAACCCATGATCTTTTCAGTTGCATATTCCTTCCCCATTTGATCATTTTCAAACAACACAATTTATTTCCCTATCCATTGATGGTTGGGGGAAGAAGAAAGAAACAAGGTGAATTTTTGGCACGGCCCTTGGTCTTATGTTTTGAAAGCTTAATCCATAGATCTTTCTGCAGATCAAGCTACTGTCAAAGGGATGTGAGTAAGCTGGCTAGATTCTTCCCAATCAGTTGTCGGTCTGCAGGAATGCTGTTCCTCTTGTGGGTGGGGCAGAGTTGCTCCAATCAGCCTTCCTCCGGAAGGGAGGGAGGGGGTAATCAGCTTGGGACGAGTGTTCCCTTCTTAAACGGAGTGCTGCCTTGAGCTCATCTTATTGTTCTTCAATATCCTACACTTCCAGCCTTTGAGACAATGTTAGAAATTTCAGGGTGTTTGGATGTACCCACCCACTCCACACTGCCCTCTCCTCTCGAGTTGACTGTTTTGATGCTCATTTCAATTGGCAGTTAGTTCCAGCAGGAAAGCACGCAAGACACACTTGGGTCACAGAACTGTAAAGTTGGAAGGGGCCAGGAGTGCCATTAGTCCAACTCTGCTTAATGCAGGAATCTTTTTGCCCAACGTGGGGCTCAAACCCACATCCCTGATATTAAGAGTCTCATGCTCTACCAACTGAGCTATGTGAAGGGCACATCTTCCTGCCATTGCCAGCTGGCTTTGGAGGATATTTAGTCTGGTGCTCCTGGGGGGCCTGGCAGATACCCCCTGTTGAATGCTGAGCAGTGGGTGTTTGGGTGTATGAATCAGGTCACAAACACCTTTATAGGAAGGCAGAAATCTTTGCTCCTCATCATGTCATCTAGGCTGTTAAAGCACAGCTGGGGTGGTTTTGCCCAGGGTGGTAGATGGTCACAGTTAGTTTCATCATTTTTCATCATTTTTAATTTGTATACCGTCTTTCTATCTTACAATACTCAAGGTGGTTTACAAGCTGAAGACACAAAAAATGTACATCTTATAACAATCTAATGCAATACAAAAATGTGATAATAAAACATAACTTTAAAATAGGCAACCTACATCAAAAGTAGCAGTCAACACTCATTAGAATACGGTAGTATTAAATAACAATAACATATAAAAGTTAAACAGAAATCCACTCAGAAGTTACAATAAATAATTTCTAAACTATTATCAATAAAACAACGGCAAGCCACAGTACATAAAATAATACAATACAAATTGAGAAGCTTGGTTTTGCAGGTGGTTATCCTTTAATAAATATAGTCTTATGCCAGGTTTGGAGAACCTTTGGCCCTCCATATGTTGCTGAACCATATGTTGCTGAGAGCCAGCATGGTATAGTGGTTAAGAGTGGTAGTCTCGTAATCTGGTGAACCGGGTTCGCTTCCCCGCTTCTCCACATGCAGCTGCTGGGTGGCCTTGGGCTAGTCACACTTCTCTGAAGTCTCTTAGCCTCACTCACCTCACAGAGTGTTTGTTGTGGGGGAGGAAGGGAAAGGAGATTGTTAGCCGCTTTGAGACCCCTTAAGGGGAGTGAAAGGCGGGATATCAAGTCCAAACTCTAAACGCCAAACTCTGAACTGTAACTCCCATCATCTCTGGCCCCTGGCCATGCTTGCTGGGGCTAGTGGGAATTGTAGTTGAGCAACATCTGGAAGGCCAAAGGTAGTCCACACCTGCCTTATGCCACCATCCTGTCTCTTGCATTCCTTCTGAGTGTGAGGGCAAGAAGAGACCCTGTAGCAGGAGGACGGTCATCTCTAGTCCCCCCCCCCGAATGGATTTAGTTTTTCCCTGGCTATGATGACTTATAGACCCAGTGCTTTTAATTGCTTGGAATTACAGGTTCCTACTTCTCAATTAGCCCTGTGGATATTTATGATAGGCAATATTGTGGATTCAGCAATTACTTATCAAGACGCAGAACGAGGGAAGTGTAAATAGGAAAAGCATTTGCATAAATACCTCAAATGCCGTACATCATCATTGCTATCCTAATGAATACGGCCACATGTCAGGTCTTTTGTATATGAAATGACCGGGTCCTGCATTTAAATCAAAGTCACACACGGCTCAGTCTTCACTCTTCTCCACGTCGTTAGGCAGGCTGTGGTGAAGGAAGGGAATTTGTGCCCACTCAGCTTTTTCGGAAAAATGTCTGTGATTTACTGACCAAATCCAGCCAGTTGCAAGCGGTGGAGGAATTCAGGCTTGGAGAACCGAGCAATCTGGCTATCAGCGATGCAGGAAAGTGTTCTGTTCAGAGAGTCTATAAAATGGCAGTGCAGCCCGTCACCAGAGCCCTGAAGCAGAACAGGGCAAAAATATATATAAAGTACTAAAGCTTGTTGAAGAGAGCATTTTGGGAAACTTTAATGCAAATCATAATGCAAGTCCCTTGAAAGGACACGTTTGAAAAGGAGCTCTTTTTTCTCTGTCTCTGTCTCATTACAGGGCTGCACATCTAGTAATTTGGCAGAGCGGTAGGAACAGCATGATAGGCAGAAATCTAACGGGTGCAGCTTTCCTCATAGCTGCATTTCTATGGCAGGAAAAGTTGCTTTCTGTTGATCACACAGTTTTCGAACTCACAGGAGTCTCTCAGGAGGAAAACGTTGGCAGCCTGCATTCACCCTAACACTGTATCATTTATGAACAAGTTTAAAAGCACAGGTACTGGCGGCTAATAGATTGAGGTTGAATCCTGACAAGACAGAAGTACTGTTTTGGGGGGACAGGAGGCAGGCAGGTGTGGAGGACTCCCTGGTCCTGAATGGGGTAACTCTGCCCCTGAAGGACCAGGTGCGCAACCTGGGAGTCATTTTGGACTCACAGCTGTCCATGGAGGCCCAGGTCAATTCTGTATCAAGGGCAGCTGTTTACCAACTCCATCTGGTACGTGGGCTAAGACCCTACGTGCCCACGGACTGTCTTGCCAGAGTGGTGCATGCTCTGCTTATCTCTCACTTGGACTACTGCAATGCATTCTATGTGGGGCTACCTTTGAAGGTGACCCGGAAACTACAACTAATCCAGAATGCGGCAGCTAGACGGGTGACTGGGAGCGGCCACTGAGACCACATAACACCAGTTTTGAAAGACCTACATTGTCTCCCAGTACATTTCCGAGCACAATTCAAAGTGTTGGTGCTGACCTTTAAAGCTCTAAATGGCCTTGGTCCAGTATATCTGAAGGAGCGTCTCCACCCCCATTGTTCTGCCCAGACACTGAGGTCCAGCCCCGAGGGCCTTTTGGCAGTTCCCTCACTGCGAGAAGCCAAGTTACAGGGAACCAGGCAGAGGGCCTTCTTGGTAGTGGCACCCACCCTGTGGAACGCCCTCCCACCAGATGTCAAAGAGAACAACAACTACCAGACTTTTAGAAGACATCTGAAGGCAGCCCTGTTTAGGGAAGCTTTTAATGTTTGATGGACTTCTGTATTTTAATATTTTGTTGGAAGCCGCCCAGAGTGGCTGGGGAAACCCAGGCAGATGGGCAGGGTATAAATAATAAATTATTATTATTATTATTATCCTTGAGGGATTGCATTTTCTACTTCTCTCCATTCAGAGAACTGTGCTTTTACTCCACCTCTCTCTGTTGTTGTTGTTGTTGTTGTTATTGTTGCTTAGTTGTTTAGTCATGTCCAACTCTTTGTGACCCCATGGACCAGAGCATGCCAGGCACTCCTGTCTTCCATCTCTCTGCTCCCTGCTAATTCACCAATTCGTGATCTGCAAGATGTCCTCTCTTCTTATTCCTTGACTGCTAAGCTTACTCAGGAGTCTTTGGTGAGGCACCTTCTCAAAAGCTTTTTGAAAGTCCTAGTACGGTGCCAACCACATTCCCTCTATCAACATTCTTGTTGACACTCTCAGAGAACTTTAATAGGTTTGTGAGACACGGCTTGCCTTTGCAGAAGCCACCCTGGCTCAGCTTCATGATCTACAATGGTATTCTTTGATTTTGTCATCAGTCAGACATTTGGGGCAGGCATTCTGAGGTGGTCAGAGAGAAGTGTAATGGTGTATTCACATGAATTTTAACACAAAAGCGATTTCCGTTGTGCTCAATGGTGCTTACAGCTAGGAGAATTTTAACTCAAAAGCAATTCCCATTGTGTTCAATAGGGCTTATATCTAGAGTTGGAAACTATTTCCAGTCCATGCCCATTTTATGTGCATTCACTCGTAAGACCATTCCGGCCTGTTGCTGCATGGATCTGCATTTTTAAAATCTGCACAAAAACCTGCATTTAATATTTACTTTCTCTCAGGATATGCATGCTTATATTTGTGTGTACAAAAGCACGTGGAGGGTGACGTTCCAATCAATGGGTCGGTCCCAGAGTCGCAGATCAGTTCCAGCATTCGGAAATATCTAATTGCTCAAGCATCTCTGCTGATGCCGATCTTGCTCCCATGACAAGCTAGAATGCAGTGCAAGGGAGAAGCACCGAGAAAGCGGAAGAGGTTGCAAAAGCAGTTGTGGGGAGTTGAAGGGGAGGAGACAGCTGAGGGGAGGCAAGAGAAAGGAGGAAGGGAAAGAGATGCAAGCAAGTAAACATCGCACAAAAAGTAAGACGTGGCAAGACGTGGCAATTCCCAAGTATGGGAATGTTCAGGAATGCAGGAGAGGATACATCGTTTGATTATAACCTTTCCAACTTGTGTATACAAGTTCACAATTTAGCAGAGTAACACTCCCCCTTTTAAACTCACAGCGGATGCATTTGCTCAGGCTCGCTAAAGCCTCTATAATAACTGTTCTGGTATTTTCCCCTTATTCCTTCAGAAAAGATAAGACACAACACAGTCTTCTATAAAAGTATAAAAGGAGTTTACTCACTCACATTCTGTTCGCAATCGGATCCCAGAAGGCAGACTTATCTTAGAAAAGTAACATAAACCTGGAAACTATTTCATAAAGAGACAGTTCCTTTGTCCTCTCTTGGCTGGAAGCCAAGAGAGTATCTTTGGCTGGAAGCCAAGAGAGTATCTTTGGCTAAGCAGACGTTGCTTCTTCGACAAAAGTAGTCAGAGAGAGAGAGAGAGAGAGAGAGAGAGAGAGAGAGTCCTATGCTTTTGTTACCTGCACAGGTGAGGCCGCACCCACCTCTAGTCACATGCAGAGGAAGTCTATCCCAGCCTAGGAGAAACAGGAAGTTCCGACTGGCTGGTCCAGACATCCCCTTCTATGTCCACTCTAGGGATGTTGTACTTGACTGCTCTTGTGTTTCACATCTCACAAGAAGTCTCCTAACAACTCTCAGCACTTTTAGCACTTCCTAGACTTGTCGGGGGAAGCCGCAGCTGTTTAAAATGGTATGCTGCTGCTTTGAACATATTGTGCAGATGGGGCCTGTATCTCACAGGAATGCAGGAAGCTGTCTTAATACTTGGTCAGATGTCTTTATGATCTAAGCCATTATATTCTGATTGGCGTGCAGCTCTCTGGGCTCTTGGGCAAAGGCCTTTTCATTCGCCAACTGCTTGATCCTTGTAGTTGTGAGACTCTAGCTCCCATCATCCCTTGCCAGCATGGCCAATGTGAAGGGGTGAGGTGAGGTGTAGTTCAGCATCACTTCCTGCACACAGGTCCCCCAGCCCACCTGCTTGACAAATGACAACAACAACAACAACAACAACAACAATAATAATTTGATATTTATACCCCGCCCATCTGGCTGGGCTTCCCCAGCCACTCTGGGCGGCTTCCAAAAAAATATTAAAATACTGTAATACATCAAACATTAAAAGCTTCCCTAAACAGGGCTGCCTTCAGGTGTCTTCTAAAAGTCTGGTAGTTGTTCTCTTTGACATCTGGGAGGGCATTCCACAGGGAGGGCGCAACTACCGAGAAGGCCCTCTGTCTGGTTCCCTGTAACTTTGCTTCTCGCAGTGAGGGAACCGCCAGAAGGCCCTCAGTGCTGGACCTCAGTGTCCATGCAGAACAATGGGGGTGGAGACGGTCCTTCAAGTATACTGGACAAGACGTGGAGACCCAAGGAATTGAACCTGGATGTTCTTCAGGCAAAGTTTGAGTTCTGCCACCAAGCTCTGCTCCATCCTTCTTTAGGATTTTAAAAACTTTGATGGGCGCACAGCTTTTCAGTCGATCTCTTCCGGAAAGATGGCAGTCTTAACTTTAGAATGGGTGTTGCAAGCCACACTCCTCCGGAAAAGTTATTATTCTGGTAGGTTTTGCAAGGTCGGTTAATTAACACTGGGAGGCAATCTCCAAATGTAAGTTGTTTTGCAGTCAAGGGACTCGTTCCGCCTACACAGAAGCGCCATTGCTAATTGAAAGTGTGTAATTTCATTGACCAAGTCGCAGAAGACACCGAGGCAAAATACATCCTTGCTTTTTTTGCAGGGCTTGTTTTATGGAATGCTATTACGCCTGACAGGTGGCGCGTGTGCATGGCAGATTGCATGAAGAACGCATCACTAGGTAAGACGCTGCTATCTCACATCCATCCAGCAGAAACAAGGGAGAAATGATTGATCTTTCCTGCTCTCTGTCTTCCATAGACCAGTTCAATTGCTTTAAAACGATTTAAAAGGGGTGTGGGTGGGGGAGAGCACCAGATAGATAACTCAGGAGAAAAATTCTGAGTGATTCTCAGCTTCTTATTCTTTTTGGATCACAGCATATTTCCCATTCTCTTGTATTGAAATATTTTTGTTTCTTCCTCTGAAAACTTATTTTTGAAGCCACACATCTGAACGTTATTTCTTATCCAACCTTCCCTATTTCATAACAGATGGTGGGGGAAAAGCCAGAGTTTGGCTCAGTTAGGGGTTGCCATATTTCAAATAATGAAAACCAGAACCCCCCATTTTTTTAGGAAACCACCAAATTTGAAATTTGAAACACTTAAGATTTTTCTATTGACTTGCCTAATATCCAGGAAATCCTCCCCCCCCCCAAGACATCAATTCCACCTCTGAAATTCTGGTAATGCCCGGGAAAATCTGGACGTATGGCAGCCCTAGGCTCAGTCAAACTCTGTGGACCACGATCATACAGATGATTTCATGTTGGCCCCCTTTTCATATTTAGAAGGAAAGGCCACGCCTCAGTGGTAGAGCACCTGCTTTGCTTGCAAAAAAAAAGGTGCCCGGTTCAATCCACAGCATCTCCAGGTGACCACAGAGGGAGCCAGTGTAGTGTAGTGGTTAGAGCCTCAGGCTAGGACCTGGGAGACCAGAGTTCAAATCCCCACTGGGTGACCTTGGGTCAGTCCCTGCCTCTTAGCCTAACCTATTTCACAGGGTTATTGTTGGGGTTAAATGAGGGGAGGGAGAACCATGTATAACTCCTTGGAGGAAAATATGGGATATGAATGTGGTTGGCAAATAAGAAAGAAAGAAAGAAATTGGAGTGGAGATTTCAGCACAACTCCAGCACAAATTACCTCTCCGGAGTCCTGACACGCAGTGTGAATAGCCACTTGAGTGGATCTTTACTGGCCCTTTGACCCAACGGAGATTGGTATGGCATGAAAGAGAAATCCCTAGAAATTCATTAAAACCTGGAATCAGTCAGAAGCTGATGATTATTCAGTTGTCGGTATTGTGACTCCTTCTTTTAGCATGCAGCAGATGAAAGACCCTGGTAATATTATGGTCAGGATTTATTTATTTATTTTTTAAAAAAAGTATATAAAACTTCAATAAAAGGATATGGTCCAACCATCACTGGAAAAGAAAGAGGATTTTCCACTCAGGTAGGGGTGGATTTTGGGGGGTGGGAGGCTGGTGTGTGTAATAAGGCTTGTAGATGCCAAAAGGGAAGTCTAGAGTGCCCATTCCGGCAAAGGGACAGTATTTGTTGTAATGACAAGATGAGTAGATGGCCGCTAAGACAGAGGGAAGATAAAAGGCCCAAGGATCCTTGGGGAATCCCATCGCCTCCTTGTGAACTGCTGGAAACGCAGTCAAACATCAAGTGTATTGTGTGGGGCGGGTGCCAATTATCTGAAAGCCTGTCTCTCCCCAAGATCTCTTGCAGGCTTGCTTGAGACGTCTCTTGCAGCCCCGAGGATAATAGAATATGCTCTTTTCTTCTCTGACTAGTAAAGCATCGCAAAATAGAATTATTAGTCTAAATACGCATTGCCTACAAAATGTAAATCCAGCAATTAGGACCGTCCCTGGTGGTGCCCCTCTAATGAGTTTCACCATATTCCTTGTGTGGCTGTAGGGAACTGGCTTGTTGGAACAGTGGGGCCTGGCTCATTTGCAGAAGGGATTCTCGGGATATAAGCATTTTATTATTATTATTATTGTTATTATTATTATTTCCTCGACACACACAAAAATACATAAAAGAGAAATGAAAGCGCTCGCTTCCTAAGCAACATTTATCTCCATCAGTTTTGACTTTCTGAAGTTCACAAGAGGGAGAGGATGAGAATGAAGCAGCGCAGACGATTAGATAAGATGCCAGTCCTCCCGTCACACACAAAAGACGACATAAAAGAGAGCTGTGGGTTACATCTCAAGGCAAGCCCACAAAAACCTGCGTTATTCCCACAACGGGCCCCATAGGTGCCTGTTAAAAACGTCTTCTTCTGTTGCATTGAATCACATGGGGAAAACTGGAATATTAGCTACGAGCTAAAAAGCATGCTTCCATAGATTGCCGCCTTTGCAGCTGCAGAGCCAGGAACCGCACCTAATGACCAGCTCGTAATGATATGTGTCAAACCCCCTTCTATAAAGTCGCAACAGAAGACCTTTCTAATCTAAATGGTACCTGCTGGGCTTGCCTTGTCTTCTCTGGCTCCAGGGGTGTCAGGCACCCCGGTGAGAGACACCCCGGAGACAACACACCCCGTGATAATCTGATTATCATTTGTCATGATGGGCAGATAACAACATAAGTATTGAACCAGCCTGATTGCCATCTCCACTTCAAGGGACGTATCTTGACAGTGTTATTTCACTGCATTATGTGCATGGGCTCCCTCTCCCTCTCCCTCTTTCTCTCTGCTGTTCTTTACAGTGGCTGCCTGTGGAGCAGTGGAATGAATATAAAACAGCAGCATCCCTGGATCGTAAGGCCTTGAATAGTGCATATACCTTACATACATTCTGGGAGCCCCCAAGGTGACTGTGTACTGTGGAGTACTGTGTCCAGTTCTGGGCACCACAGTTCAAGAAGGACACTGACAAACTGGAATGTGTCCAGAAACCAAAATGGTCAAAGGCCTGGGAATGATGCCTTATGAGGAACGGCTAAGGGAGCTGGGCATGTTTAGCCTGGAGAAGAGGAGGTTAAGGGGTGATATGATAGCCATGTTCAAATATATAAAAGGATGTCACATAGAGGAGGGAGAAAGGTTGTTTTCTGCTGCTCCAGAGAAGCGGACACGGAGCAATGGATCCAAACTACAAGAAAGAAGATTCCACCTAAACATTAGGAAGAACTTCCTGACAGTAAGAGCTGTTTGACAGTGGAATTTGCTGCCAAGGAGTGTGGTGGAGTCTCCTTCTTTGGAGGTCTTTAAGCAGAGGCTTGACAACCATATGTCAGGAGTGCTCTGATGGTGTTTCCTGCTTGGCAGGGGGTTGGACTCGATGGCCCTTGTGGTCTCTTCCAACTCTATGATTCTATGGTTCTATGATTCTATGACTCTTGGTGTGCAGGATCTGTCCACTGGTAGAGGGATCCTTGCCCACCATCAGCGCTTCATCTTAAGGGTGCCATATTTCAAAAAAGTGAAAATCCAGACACAAAAGTTATTGAACAAGATCTCAAAAATTAACTGAAAATTAAACTGAAACTGACACGGGGGCAAATAGAAGAAGACACCTTCACCCCGGTATGGCTGCCCTTTATCACATACACAGCCCAACAAGACAACGACAAAAATCCTTGAAGAACAGAGGATCTGATGAACGGATTATTAAAAATGTGTGAGGCAAACGGTGGAAGTCTTTAAAAAACAAAAAACACTTTTTAAGGTAGATAAGGACAAGATGGAATTATACAATTGAATATAAATATAGATGGGAAACGGCTATGTATAGTGAATACTTATCTACTTTTAAAAATTTTCACCTATGATCCTTTTCTTTTACTTCTTTATTTTTTCTTTGTACTTTTTTTCTTTTTTCTGATATCTTTCATTTCACTCCTTTATTGTGATTGGCATTTTATAGAAGTATAAATAATTGTAAATATGAAAAGAGACAAAGTATTCTCTATTTTTTTTTCTTGGTTATATGTATTTTCTTTTTCTTTTGTATTTTCTTTTGTTGTAAATATGTATGTTTTCTAATTTGTACTTAATATTTATTTTTTTTTAAAAAAAGACAATGACAAAAATCCACCAACATCATACAAATCAATATAGTGGTACTTCGGGTTACATACGCTTCAGGTTACAGACTCCGCTAACCCAGAAATAGTACCTTGGGTTAAGAACTTTGCTTCAGGATGAGAACAGAAATTGTGTTCCGGCGGCACGGCGGCAGCTGGAGGCCCCATTAGCTAAAGTGGTGCTTCAGGTTAAGAACAGTTTCAGGTTAAGTACGGACCTCCGGAACAAATTAATTATTTAACCCGAGATACCAGTGTATGGCTAACCTGATGCAAAACACCCACCCACCCCACTCACACATGAAAACAAAGGCCACCACAGCCAACCACAAATGAATAACCACACCCTAGGCCAATCCCAACCTCTCTCACCACCAAAGGAACACAAGTGAACAGCAAAGAACCTGCACAAGCAACGCTGACACCAAACCATATGTATAGTAAGTAAAATAGAAACATCACCACCCGACCCCACCTCCACCCCTCTTCCCTCCTTCCATCTCTTTCCCTCTTTTCTTCCTAATGTCTCAACAAATGAAACTGATTTGTTAAAATGTTACATGGGGGGGGGAAATACAAGAGAGAGACATTGCACACACTTTTGTAAATCAATAAAATATATAATTAAAAAAAGATTTTTAAAAAAAGGAGAGAGAAGTATTTGAGCATTTTTTAATGGAAATTTGCCAAAAGCTACACTTCCAACTTTCTGCCCAGACACTGTTTCCGAAGACCAAATCCCAGCAATGTCCAAGAAATTCCGGACGTATGGCAACCCTGCTTCTGGACATATGTGACATTTAGATATTTGCTGGGTTGGGTCCCTAACTGCAGGGTACATGCTAAAGCCAGACTGAAATCCCCCTCTCTGTTGACTGCAAATGTTCTCCCCCCGCCCTTGAAAATGGGATGGTTTGCTCTGTGCTTTCTTGTACACATAGGAAGCTCTCCTATCTTTTCCAGAGCTGGTTGCCACTTGCTGGGTCACACCAGGAAGTGAAGTCAGCAGGCAGTCATGGAGAGAGGCTTGTGCTACTTCCTGCTGAATGCCTCGGGGCTGATGCAATGTGGCATGATGTCATGGCACTCACAAGGCAGTGTAGCCATTCCATCCAGTGCCAAGCAGTGGAGAGCACATTGTACCACTGTGAGCAGTGCTGAGTTTTAGAAGCATGGGGAAAATGGAAAATCCTTGGCCACCTTGTATGGTTAAATAAGGCAAGTAGCAACCACCTTCTGAGCATTTTGGAGAGATTTCTTTCCTCCTCCTCAACTTTTCATTTCACACCCATTGATTCTCCTAATGAGATGCTCAGTTTCCCGGTTCAAATGCTCCCTCGCCTTTTTTCCATCTACCTGGTAGAGGTGAAAGGTAAAGGTAAAGGACCCCTGGATGGTTACGTCCAATCAAAGGCGACTATGGGGTTGCAGCGCTCATCTCGCTTCAGGCTGAGAGAGCCAATGTTTGTCCACAGACAGCTTTCTGGTATAGAAGACATCTGAAGGCAGCCCTGTTTTGGGAAGTTTTTAATGTTTGATGTTCTATTGTGCTTTTAATTCTGTTGGGGACTGCCCAGAGTGGCTGGGAAACTCAGCCAGATGGGTGGGGTATAAATAATAAAATGATGATGATGTGGCCAGCATGACTAAACCGCTTCTGGCGCAATGGAACACCGTGATGAGTGCCAGAGCGCACAGAAACACTGTTTACCTTCCCACCACAGCGGTACCTATTTATCTACTTGCACTGGTGTGCTTTCGAACTCCTAGGTTGGCAGGAGTTGGGACAGAGCAACGGGAGCTCACCCTGTCACGGGGATTTGAACCGCTGAACTTCCAATTAGCAATTCCCAAGGGCTCAGTGGTTTAGACCACAGCGCCACCTAGTAGAAGTAGCACACTGGGCCTAGAAGACCAGGGGAGAGTGGAGTCTTGCAGTCAAGGAGGATAGAACTATCATTGCCTATTAATGGCTATTTTCTCCTTCCACCATAGGTGCCAACTTGAACAAAATATTCTGATAAGGTCTCTTGCTTGCCTGGATGTAGGAAAGGAAAGGGTCTGGGAGCGCTTGGGGAAAAACTAGCATATTATACAAAGGTAAGATTTACATTCGTTGCTTCACTCACTTTTGCCTCTGACCAGTGATGGCTGGTCCACCAACCCCAGTCTGCCCCCACCTGCAGGTTTTCTCACTTGCAACTGGTCGAGGGGTGAATGCTTCTTGTCACCTTCTTCCTCCTTAGTCTCCTTGTAGAATTCAGCGAGAGAGAAGGGTGGGGGAAAACTAAAATGTCATTGGCTCTGGCGCCTCCTACTTTGGGCTCCTTGCCTCCTGCCCCACCAGCCAGCACTGCAGTCATATGACTGCATTCACATGACCTCTGGAATGTTGCCCAGGTGTGAATGTGGACCCTGGTCTGAAAAACCTTTCCCTTCCCTGATGCATTGCAATCAATTGTCTGCTTCCTTCGTAGGAGTTGAAGTAAATTGTGGGTCTGAAACTCTTCCCTGGCACTAAATTTCCCACACGTGACTGACCTGTGCCAGCTTGATATGTGCCCCAATTTATGCCATGTTAAGGTACCCCAACTCCTGCCAACCTAACAGTTTGAAAACACACCAACAAGTGCAAGTAGATCAATAGGTAGGGAAGTAGGCAAGTAGACCTCCGGCGGGAAGGTAAACGGCTGCTCTGGTTTTGGTGTTCCATTGCGCCAGAAGGGGCTTAGTCATGCTGGCCACAAAACTGTCTGCAGGCAAACGCCGGCTCTCTCGGCCTGTAAAGCTAGATGAGCGGCGCAACCCTAGAGTCGTCTGCGACTGGACTTAACTGTCAGGGGTCCTTTACCTTTTTTTAAAGGTAGCCCAAACACTGTGCATCCCCTTTGCGTAGAAAATGCTTACTTTATCTTTTCCAAGCTGACTAAGGTATCTCAACAGCAAGCAGCATGAGCCCGCCAGTTTTCACATACTGAAGAAATCCACAGATTCGGATCAAAAAGGACCTTCTGTGGCGATAAAAAGCCGCAAGCCTTTTTCTAGTCTGTCAGCGAGGAAGGAGAACCATAAAGCAGGAATGGCAAATATTACCCATTCAGGAGGGGCTGGAAATCAAAAGAGGCCTGTTCTTCCTTCTCACTCCCCTCAGTTCCACATCACCTGAAGTATTTGAACTTGGCCAGGCAGTGAGAAGATGGCAGCTCTGAGGGCGTTTCCTCACCCCCACCCCAATTAAAGAAGCACACAGCAAGTTTGGTTTTGAGAAGCAAGTCAACGCACGACTCTCCAAATGCTCTCTCGACTTTCTGGAGCCCCGAGCTGTGGAGAAAGGGACAGAACAAGCCACAGCGAGGGCTCTTTATTAGCTCTGAGGAGAACAGAATTGTGAAATGATCAAACATCTTTGTCAGATGCTGTGGCTGCCCATGCTAGGCCCCTTTCATGCCGGGCAGTTTGAAGGCCGTCCATGTTTGCCGTTGGCCTCACAGTCGTCTCATCAACTTGGCGGGCAAGGCTGGCATCACCCTTTATTATTTATGGTCGCCTTTCTGGTCCTCCACCTTCTTAGCGGCCTCGCCAAGACAAGGAAACAAAGTTTAATAATGAAATAATCGTGTGCTCTTGGGCTGAGGTGGCCATGGCAGCAGCGGGGTGGAAAAACCGCTTGAAAGGAGAAGGACATAAAAGGGAGCGGCTGGAGCTCTGTGAGCCTTGGTGGGCTGGAGAAAAAGCCCTGCTGCCTCTTGTCTGAAGACCAAAGAAGCAGGGGAGCTGGGGCGAGCGAAAGATGGCAATTTGAAAAGGCCAAACCGAGGAGCAGAGCGGCGAAACCCTGCAGCTGTTGAGGAGAGGCGCCAATGCCAGGGCGAGAGGCCCAGCAACAAAAGGCATTGATTTGTGTTTTTGTAGGTTAAGAAAATAGTTTGCTTTTCAGGAGCGCATTAAAAATAAAATAAAGCCAAAATGAATTATTAAAGGATTTCTTCTGCAGTAGAAAGCGAGATGGGAAAGAAAAGAAGGAACCATCGTGGCTTCTGCTCTGAGTTACGCAATCTTATGGGAGGGGGAAATGTTGCCTTTCTGAATTCAGAATTTGGAGTGCTGATCATTTGCAACACACACCTTAAACAAGTGCGCCCAGGAAGAGGCCAGGAGGTGACTGCAGTGGATGGAATAGACTTATTTCTTAAACCGTTAGTTTTCAGAGGCAACTTTCTGCTTGGCAGAAAGAGAGACAGAGATGAAAATGTGCAGCTGCTCTGTACAGAAAGACACGACACTGACTTTATAGGACATTGATCTGATTTGGGGTGTTTATTGGCATCCTTCTTTGACTCAGGTGGGCACACACACAGAGTCTATGAACACTCTTGCATTTTGCATCGTACCTCCTCTGGGGTGATACTTCTGCTTCTGGTATAATGCAGAGACAAATAGCACCTCTAATCTCAATTTGTCAAAAGCTTCATCATGACCAACAATGGAAGAATCATTGTTAAAATTATTGGACTTAGTTGAGATGGCGAGGTTGACGTGTTTCATCATAGGAAAATCATTGCCAGCATTTACTAAAGGTTGGAAAATTCTTATAGACTTTTTGCATGAAAAAGAAAATGAACTTACAATATTTGGGTTTAGGGATCGAAGATACTGTTGTTTTATAGAAAGCAGAGTTGCTGGCTGTTATCTTGGAGTGGATGTATTGAATAATTTTCTAGATATAGCTGATCAGAATTTCTCTTTCTCCGCCTTTTCTCCTCCCCTTTCTATCCTTTTTTCTTTTTTCCCTTTATTTTTTCTTTCTTTCTTTTTCTGGTCTGTGTTTTTATTTAGATTAACTTTTTAGTTTTGATAAAAGGATATCTGACATTCATCTTTTTATTCTCCTGAACTTTTAATATAATCTATTATATTAAAATAATATAAGGACGCGGGTGGCACTGTGGGTTAAACCACAGAGCCTAGGACTTGTCGATCAGAAGGTCGGTGGTTCGAATCCCTGCGACGGGGTGACCTCCTGTTGCTCGGTCCCTGCTCCTGCCAACCTAGCAGTTCGAAAGCACGTCAAAGTGCAAGTAGATAAATAGGTACCGCTCCGGTGGGAAGGTAAAGGGGTGTTTCCGTGCGCTGCTCTGGTTCGCCAGAAGAGGCTTAGTCATGCTGGCCACATGACCCGGAAGCTGTACGCCGGCTCCCTTGGCCAATAAAGCGAGATGAGCGCCACAACCCCAGAGTCGGCCACGACTGGACCTAATGGTCAGGGGTCCCTTTACCTTTACATATTTTTTTTAAAGAAGCCATCAGTTAGCATCCTACGGTACTGAGTTCCAAAGAACACAGTGCCATGGATTGAGACAACAATGCTTCTGAGTGCAAGTTGCTGGAAACCACAGGAGAGGGGAGTGCTGTTGTGCCCAGGTTCATCATATGGGTTCTGCAGAGGCACCTGGTGAGGCACCTGTGAGAACAGGATGCTGGACTAGATGGGCATTGGCCTGATCCAACAGGGCTCTTCATATGTTCTTAAAAAGAGATCTCCTTCCCGCACTTTAAACCTCTCTGCGCTAGTTAGCAGCCAGATTGCCCCCATAAGGGGAGTTGCTAGAGACAACAAGTTTGATGCACAAAGTAGATCTGAAGAGAAAAGGAGACGAAGAAGGGTAACAAATGTTCGGTGTCTGAAGCAATCCTGTTTTCTGTCAAGCCCAGATCCCAGATGACTCCTTTCTTCATTTGTGCTTTGGGGAAATGGGGAGACTTGGAAACACACAACAGCTTAGACTCAGATGTGGGAAGCTTGTACTTTTCAATCTCAGTCCCTTTTGGAACCTTTACCATTATACTGATCACTTGCAATCAAAGAATGATAGTAACAGTACAGATGTCTTTTTCTTTTTTCTTTCCAGCAGATCAGAAGCTAATAGTTTTAGGGGGTGGGGTGGGGGGGAAAGAGATCCTCCTTGTGTGTTCTGTCATGGACAGTTCCCTCATCCAGTTTCCTCATCTGCGTTGTCTGTTCCGCCGCAGACGTTTCCTTGTAGTTCTTGATGAAATAGTCTTGGAGCCTTTTCTTTTCACACAAGAAAAGAACGAGACTCCCACCTGCTTTGCATAAGGGCTTCTTTTCTCTCCTCCATTTAAAAAAAATTATTTTCAGATTTTTATATTAGCATTATTTCCATACCCTACAAACACTTTTCATATATACAGTACGGGGATTATACAAACCCCTCAGACTTCCCCCAATAAATGACAACAACAACAACAACTTATTTATATCCCGCCCATCTGGCTGGGTTTCCCCAGCCACTCTGGGCAGTTCCAAGCAGAATATTAAAAACACGTTAAAACTTCAATCATTAAAAACTTCCTTAAACAGGGCTGCCTTCAGATGTCTTCTAAAAGTCAGATAGTTATTTATTTCCTTGACATCTGGAGGGAGGGTGTTCCAAAGGGCAGGCACCACTACCAAGAAGGCCCTCTGTCTGGTTCCCTGTAACTTCACTTCTCGCAGTGAGGGAACCACCAGAAGGCTCTCGGCACTGGACCTCAGTGTCTGGGCTGAACAATGGGGGTGGAGACGCTCCTTCAGATATACTGGACCGAGGCCATTTAGGGCTTTAAAGGTCAGCACCAACACTTTGAACTGTGCTCAGAAATGTCCTGGGAGCCATTGTAGCTCTTTCAGGACTGGTATTATATTGTCCCAGTGGCCACTCCCAGTCACCAGTATAGCTGTCACATTCTGGATTAGTTGTAGTTTCCAGGTCATCTTCAAAGGTAGCCCCACATAGAGCGCATTTATGGGAAATTGCATCCAATTACCAGTATGCACATTTTATGTGAAAATTGTGTAAGAACATAAGAAGATCCCATCTAGATCTGGCCTAAGAAGAGCCCATCTAGATCTGGCCTATTTCCCTACTTTCTGTTTTCCACAGTGGCCAACCAGATGCCTTGATGGGAAACCCACCAGCACAACATGATCCTGTTGGATTTCTATTCCTCTCACTGTGCAGATATGTAGGATTGGTTCATCACATGTCTGTGTTATGCATTCCAGTACTGACTGTTGGAATCACGGGAGCGGATGTTTACTGTACTCTGTTTCCGTTTGTTTTTGCTTTCACTTCTGACTTCTCTCTGAGGAAGACCAGAGAGAGGAGACATGTTTTCTTTTGTTCTGCCTTATGCTTAATAAAGGGATGGGGGTGGCGCTGTGGGTTAAACCACAGAGCCTAGGACTTGCCGATCAGAAGGTCGGCGGTTCAAATCCCCTCAATGGGGTGAGCTCCCGTTGTTCGGTCCCTGCTCCTGCCCACCTAGCAGTTCGAAAGCATGTCAAAGTGCAAGTAGATAAATACGTACCACTCCGGCAGGAAGGTAAACAGCCTTTCCAGGCGCTGCTCTGGTTTGCCAGAAGTGGCTGTCATGCAAGCCACATGACCCGGAAGCTGTACGCTGGCTCCCTCGGCCAATAAAGCGAGATGAGCACCACAACCACAGAGTCGATCACGACGGGACCTAATGGTCAGGAGTCCCTTTACCTTTATGCTTAATAAAGTAGCTTTAGTGCTCACAACCTCAGTCTAGCTCTGACTGTGTTTATCTCTGCTGCTCTCTGAATATGTGCTAAGTGTCTCCAAGACATGAGTCACTATAAATAGTCGGGGAAGGTGATTCAGAACTCCGTAGAGCTGCACGCTGCACGCTGATGGGAGAGACAGGCTGGAATCGTTCCTGTTGTATGTCTTGGGGTCGTCCTAGCCCCCGGCTGACCCGACAGATCCCATTTGCCTTCCCCTGTTGTTATTTGCCAGCCATTAAGAACAAAAGAAGAGTCCTGTTGGATGAGGCCAAAGGCCCACCTAGTCCAACTATCTGTTCTTGCTGTGGCCAACCAGACGCTCATGGGAAACCACAAACAAGACTTGAGCACAGCAGCCTTCTCCCTACCTGTGATTCCCAGCAACTGGGACACAGACAGCTAAGCTGCCTTATATACCAAATTGGACCACTGGCCCATCTAGTTCAGTACTGTCTACACTGGTTGGCAGCATCTCTCTAGTGTCCAGATGGGAGGCTCTCTCAGCTCTGCCTGAATATATTGCTGATTGATTCTAGGAACCTTCTGCATATAAAGAAGGTGTTCTACCACTGAGCTGCAGTGGTATTCAGAAGCAACCTTCCTCCGACCATGGAGGCAAAGCATGCAAAATGCATATTATTTAAATGTGGATTTTGCACATTTGAAAACCCAGCACAAAACAGGGTGGAGCGGACCTATGATTGTGCTTCTATGATTCTGCAAGGGGACAGCATCAGTCTGCTCAGTCCATCCTGACTAGAATCACATCCCTACAGTCTCTTCTTGGGATGTGACATATCAGCGAAAGGAAAGGCAGGGCTTGGTGGAGGAGGAAGGGGGAAAACTAAATTTATTGGAAAGCATCGGGCACTCATACGAGGAGCTTTATAAATAGACTTCACTGTACATAAATCCCCGGACTGTAATGGCAACAGATAAGCTGGCGCCATAATATCTATGGTGACGTTACAGTGACAGATAGTAGGGAGGTTGAAACCGACAAGGGCTTCAGTCACCATGGTGGCGAAGGTACCGAGAGAAACTTGGTGTGTGTGTGCTTAGTGTATCCTGCTATGTTGATGGAAAAAGTACAGAATTGTTTGAATCTCCCAGAGCTCATCCACAGGCGAAATGGAAACCAGGCGCAATGATCAGAGCCTGCTTGTTTGCAGTTACTTCAAGGCAAACCAGGGGCATGAGAGCCAAATTATAACCCTCTTTAGGGGGCACAAGCTTCCCTGGGTTTTTATTTGCTCTCAAATTGCATCAGTCAGCAGCTACAGGTTGCTTTAGCTCGAGGGTGAGGGACCTTTATTACCCAAGGGCCACATGCTCTAAGGAGTAGGCTTCTGAGGGTAACATGCCAGTGTGAGGTGGGGAAAGAGGCAAAGGTGGGCTGGATATTGAAGGTAATGATCTAGTTTATACAAACCCCTTCTATCCTCCATCCACCAAGCAAGAGGCATGGTCATAGTTTAAGGACACATTTCAGTCAAGCAAAAACACTTGGTTTTGGGGCATGATGAGGGGTGTGGCCACATAGAAAGTCTTGGAGGGCCACATTCAGTTTCCCCCTGGCTTGAGGTTTCTCACCCTGTTTTTCACAGAAGTGGATGAAATTTGCAGGCAACATTGTCCCTCCAAAGTTCAGGCAGATCAACCTTTACAGTTTTTTCCTCCTATGAGAATCGAATGCATGTTGCAGGCCTAGTCACTCTAGCTGAGAGGATAAATCCTGTCAGAGTTCAAGAAACTAGGTGCCGTCGTTCTTCCACAAGGATGGACTTTACTGTTTGGGGATGGGAAAACAGAAATTGTGTTACCTCACCCCTAGGTGAGGGGGTGGGGAAGAGATCAATTATAAATCATGAGTAGTTGAGAGACACAAGGTAGGCACCCCTGGATGAGAAGCCTGCCAAAACCCAGACAAACAGATCCAGGCGATCTCATACTAGGTGATTTCATCTTTGTCAGTCCTTTCCCCAACTTTTTCTAAAAAAGTGTTTTGAGGTACTCTCATTTTCCTCATCATATTGAACTACTGCCCCTCAATGAGGCCAAACTTAGATTCAGAAAATGTTTAGGGGTATGCGTTCCCCCCCCCCAAAAAAGCACTGATCTTTGTTACAAGAAACTGGAAAAGTTACCGTTCAATTTTGCTGTCCACCTCTTCCTGGAAGTAGTCTCTGTGGAGAAGAAAAATGAGTGCACTGTGATTTTTTAAAAAAATTCGGTAAGGGGAAAAGAAATGACTGGGAAAGAAGCATATCAGCCCAATAGTCTTAACTCTGCTGCTTATGTCCTGTTCTCACAAACAAAAATTGGAGAGTGTGACCCATGCAAAGAACAACTGTTTACTTCAACATCCATCCCACAAATCACTGTGATTGGAGTACACTAGGAAAATAGTTCACTAGACCTGTCCGACAACATGAAAGTTCCCTCTTCACACCCTGCTCTGTCCTCTCCCTCTCCTTCTCTCTTGAGTTCTGGCCATTTCCTAAGTCTGTCAGTTTGGCTTTGGACTCCCCAATCCACCTGAAAACACCTTGTTAAGAGCAAAATCCAGACCCAGGTCATCCTATTCTGCCTTGCTTATTCAGGACGATGGCCACCCCTATTATTTATATTCTTTCCTCCCCACTTTTAAGTCTGTTTTGAAGTAAGAAATGATTTGATCCCTGACAATGAAAAATGCAGGAAGCTTCCAGGCCGTGCTAATGTTATCTCTTTGTAATTCTGTGGAAATCAAGCTGTGAATTCAATCTTTTATGGGGGGGGGGGGGGCAAGGGGAGACACAGGGACACTGTGAGACATTTAGAGGCCTTCGGGGGGGAAATGCAAAATTTATGCCATCCAGGTGACCATCTTGCCCGTATTTGAAACATGTACTCAGCAGGGTGATGCAAATGTTCTCTGCCAAAGGCCATCCTTCATTTCTCTTGGCTCCGTTCTATTGCCCAACAATTAATTGCTAGAGGTCCCAGCCATTATAAGCAAATCACATTTTTCGTTGTCTATATGCTATAAACCAGAGAAAGACTCGGAGCTGAGATCATGCTCTTACATCTATCTGCCCACCTCCCGCTTTAATCCAAACATTACTGACTGCCCTGTCCCCAGCTTTTCCATATCCTTTGTCTCTTTCCTGTGTTCTGTACGTGTCTTCGTGTACATGGCCCCTTGAGCCCAGTGTGGTGTGGGAGAGCCAGTGTGGTGTAGTGGTTAAGAGCGGTAGTCTCGTAATCTGGGGAACCGGGTTCGCGTCTCTGCTCCTCCACATGCAGCTGCTGGGTGACCTTGGGCCAGTCACACTTCTCTGAAGTCTCTCAGCCCCACTCACCTCACAGAGTGTTTGTTGTGGGGGAGGAAGGGAAAGGAGAATGTTAGCCGCTTTGAGACTCCTTCAGGTAGTGATAAAGTGGGATATCAAATCCAAACTCTCCTTCTTCTTCTTCTTGTGAGTCATGTTACCTGTGTGACACTGCAGAGCCCAAAAGTCTTGCTTTTTTCAGGGCCGTGCTCCCATGGTGCCCAAAAATGAACATTTGGGGGTGCCATGCAAGATATTGCCCCCCCAGACCCACTTTCTTCAGGGCACAGAATCACATGAGATCACATGCCCAAAATGGCCGCTGTGCTCTCTGGTGGAAAAACGGGATGTCCCAGTTTTTCCAGGACACTTGCAGGATATGTTGATTGTTATTCCACTCTGCAAAACATTGCTCTGCAAGGGGAACACAGATCTCCTAACAACTCCCGGCACCTTTAACAAACTACAACTCCCGGGATTCTCAGGAGAGCCATGACTGCTTAAATTGGTATCGCAGCGTTTTGAAGGTACGCCGGGAATGCGGCCTTGCAGGAGGGGCACGAGAAATAGACTGTCCTGAGCGACCCTCATATGCATTCCAGGTTGATGCCACAGCGTATTGTGTGTGAGAGGCTACAAAGGGCCTGAATTATTCATCCCACCCCATCTCCCCCTCCTCAGCATTGTACATTCCCTCAGCTCTCCTCAGAAAAACCACCCTGTACTTGTCAAACAAGAGCGCGGTTATCATTATGTTCCCCCCACAAAGCAAAGCCTCCCGTCTCTTCTCCCCTCCCCACCCCGACAATAGTTGCCTGGAAAGAGAGAAGAAACCAGCAGGGAAAACCTCCCCTTCCTCTTCTCTTTCGCACAGAAGCCTTTAATCATGAATTTATGCAGGCACAAATTTCAGAGCTCTCTGTTTTCTCCACCAGATCCCGACGCCATCCCAGTCTCAACCCCCACCCCACTCCCTTGCCCAAGGTACTTTCAGGCTTGCGACTGCAAAAGTAGAAGGGGCAAGGCTGCAATCCCAAGGCACTGGAAGGATGTTGCCACTGGCGTAGCAGAGAGCTAGCTTCCTTGTGGGTTTTTGTAGGCGAAGATGCAACTGCTTAAATAGAAGCCTGTGTGTGTGTGTGTGTGTGTGTGTGTGTGGTCTTTGTGATAGCCGACTCATTAAAAAGCAAAGGCAAAACGAGAATATGAGCATACAACAATGAGACAGCTGTTAATATTGTATTAGTAAGCAAAGCATGCCAGTGTAAACAAAGGCTTCAACAAAAATATAAATCAGGCATATATCTAGTGGATTTAATGGACGTTTGCCAATTTAACGCCATTGTTAGTGATAAGTTGAATGCGCTGTATTGCATCAAGTGCTGCTCTCCGACTTGAGTTCAAATGCCCTTTCAGCCTCAAAGCTTCCCTGGGTGACCTTGAGCCAGTTGCTCTCAAATTCTAAGCTACGTTGTAAGAACCTGAGAAGAAGCTGCAGGATTAGGTCTATGGCCTAGCTGGTCCAGCATCCTGTTCTCACAGTAGCCGGCCAGAAGCCCGTGGGAAGCCCGAGAGGAGAACCTGAGGGCGACAGCAAGCTACCCACTCATTCTCCTCAGCAACTGGTGAGACAGTGGAGGCAGAACATCATCATCAAGCTAAGTAGCCACTGACATCAGGGAACCAGGATTGGCCGTGGCTCCCTGTCAAGTAAACAACTGGTGGAAAAGAAGAAGAGTTTGGATTTGATATCCCGCTTTATCACTACCTGAAGGAGTCTTAAAGCGGCTAACAATCTCCTTTCCCTTCCTCCCCCACAACAAACACTCTGTGAGGTGAGTGGGGCTGAGAGACTTCAAAGAAGTGTGACTAGCCCAAGGTCACCCAGCAGCTGCATGTGGAGGAGCGGGGACGCGAACCCAGTTCACCAGATTACGAGTCTACCGCTCTTAACCACCACACCACACTGGCTCCAGTTTGCTCGCCATATAAAGGAAGAATTGGTTCCCAATGACTACACTACACTCAATTGATGCTAGGGCAGGAAATCTCCTGCTTGGACATTGAGCATCGATGGCTTCTCGAAATTTTCTACCTTAATCGTTGGCATATATGTGATGGTAGGAAGCCATTTCCCTCAATTTCTCTGTGGGGAAGAGGAATTCTCAACAGTTCCTTGCAATTCACCACTAGCACTAGCCAGAGCACCACTTCTTCCTTTTCATACTTATCCACCCTCAGAAGAAACTTGCCAGATTCGGTAGAGGGACTATTCTAGCTTCCTGGCAAGTGGGACACTGTTGCTTGCTAGAAGGGCTTATCCACACTTACATTGCCTCCACTCTTTCCTGGCATGGTCCGCACTTTAAAGCTCTGTGTCTGAGCACCATTTTCTCTCTCTCCTATTGAATACAATGGTTTTTCTTCATCATCATCATCATCATCATTACCACCACCACAATAATTTATTTATACCCCGCCCATCTGGCTGGGTTTCCCCAGCCACTCTGGGCGGCTCCAAACAGAATATAAAAAACACGATAAAGCATCAAACATTAAAAACTTCCCTAAACAGGCTTGCCTTCAGATGTCTTCTAAAAGTCAGATGATTATTTCTTTGACATCTGATGGGAGGGCATTCCACAGGGCGGGCGCCACTACCAAGGAGGCCCTCCTCCTGGTTCCCTGTAGCTTCACTTCTCACAGTGAAGGAACCAGCAGAAGATCCTCGGAGCTGGACCTCAGTGTCCACTGAATGATAGGGGTGGAGACTCTCCTTCAGGGGAAAGCTCCAATTGGGGGGGGGGAGCCTTCGGACCTGGTACTTTATAGCATGGACCTGTACCTGAAAAGAGCAGGGCAAAAGTTAAGTGTGGATAAGCCTGGAGACAGAGATTCTTGCAGCAGGAACATGATTTCACATCTTCCAGGATGTGCTGGACCTGGGGCATTATGTAAGGGGTAGCTACTACAAAAATAATAAAAATGTTTGTGAATATTCAGAGGAAGGGGGAGGAATGTCCACAGTGACCATTTTCTAGTCAGGATAGGGTGGAGTGGATGAGAAAGGAAACTGCCGGAAATTTCCTCAGAAAACTGTATTCTGATGGATTTTGGCTCAGCTCAAAATGCTACACACAGCCGACCCCTTGGATCGTGGCCAGTGTTCTGTTTTGGCTGAGCTTGGCTGGTGGTATTGAAAGACAAGCAGTTTCTTTCTGTCAGCTTGTTTTCACATCACACATAAAACTCATTCGAGGTAGTTTCCCCCCCCCCCCCTCCCAAATTGGTGCGTCAACCTTTATACATACAGACCCTTTTACTGCCGTTGCATAAACATGTGGAGAATTCACATGGGATCAATTCCATGTGTCAGGGAAAGGTGCAATCAAAATCATGTCTCTTCGGAGGGGGTATGTTTTCAATTATCCAACTCAAGGCAATCGCCAGTCAACCACATCAATGCTCTCCACAGTGGGCTGATGTTTACTGCGCCCTTTTACGACACATAGACATGCTGGCTTTTTCTATCTTAACCTAGAGAGTCACTTTCTTTGTGTTAACCAAGGACCCTTCTGCAAAACTATACACTTAAAGCAACATCATACCACTTTAAACAGTCATGGCTCCCCCCCCCCCCCCGAAGTTTGGGAACTGTAGTTTCTTAGGACTGCTAATAGTTGTTAGGAGACCCCTAGTCTCCTCACAGAGCTATAGTTCCCAGTTTCCTGGGGAAGAGGATTGATTGTTAACCCCCTTGGAAATGGTAGCTCTGTGAGGGGAATAGGGGTCTCCTAACAACTCTTAGCAGTCCTAACAAACTACAGTTCCCAGGCTTCTTTGGGGGAAGCCATGGCATCGTAGTGCAGTTGAGGCCTGGATGAATTTATGCATCTTCAGTTATTGCAATTAAAGCTTTCTGTGGCCTGGACCCTGGATATCCAAAGGAGGAGTTTATTCCAAATTTACCACCTTTCGCATTATTCTGAATTCTTCAGGTGCCTCCACCATGTGTCTAATGTTGATCAGCACCAGGATTAGAGCTGAGTTAAATGCTTGCAGGTGGCAGCCTCATATAGCTTTAGCTACAAGGTGACATCTCAAAGCCAAATCTATGTGAGGGCAATGCTTTCTACTTTGACTCTGAATGGAGGAACATTTCCATCCCAGATCACAGTCCCACCATAAAGTGTATCACCAGAACATAAGGATATGTTTAAATCTTGGCCCGACTCCCATGAAATGCACCTCCATGTTTCAGCTCAGCCATAAGTATGATAGGGATTTTTTTAGCGGTAAGTTCCTTTCCTCCCAAAGGAGGATACATCAGATCTACAATGGAATAATTTTACTGCATTTAAAATACTGTGTAAAGTTCTGATTGCCTCATCTCATAAAGGACATTATGGAGCAGGAAAAGATTCAGAGAAGGAGCAACCAGAATGATCAAGGGGATGGAGCAATTTCCCCATGAGGAAAGGTCACAGCATTTGAGACTTTAGAGCAGCCTTTCTCAACCTGTGGGTCCCCAGATGTTGTTGGACTACAACTCCCATCATCCCTGAGCTCTGGCCTTGCTAGCTAGGGGTGATGGGAGTTGTAGTTCAACAACATCTGGGGACCCACAGGTTGAGAAAGGCTGCTTTAGAGAAAATGGTGAGTAAAGTGACGTAGAATAATAGAGTTGTAGAGTTGGAAGTGACCCTGAGGGTCCTCTAGTCCAACCCCTGCAATGCAGGAATCTCAACACACGGTCCCCCATCCAGTTTGGAACCATAGCGGATCCTCCTTAGCTTTGCAAAGATGCTCACAGTTTTATTGCTGTACCACTAGGAGTTATAGTTCAGCTTCTTTATCTCATAGTGGCCCACCAGATTGCCTATGGGAATCCCAAAGTGCAAGAGCACATTCCCACTTGGGAATCCCAGCACCTGACATTCAGAGTCATCCTGCTTCCATCTGGGGAGTTAGAACATGGCCATTGCGTCTAGCAGTCACTGACAGCCTCACCCTCCATGAATTTGTCTGGCCCCACTTTAAAGCTATCCAGGCTGATGATCACCACAACATCTGGAGATAGGAAATTCCATAGAGTATGTGATGGAAGTTTATGAAATTATGCACGGCATGGGGAAGGCAGATAGGGGGAAGTTCTTCTCCCTAACATCCAACGATGCTGAATGTAGGAGGTTTCAGGATAACAGAAAATGCTTCTTCACGCAGGGCATAGTGGAACTATGGAACTTGCTTCTAGTGATGGCTGCCAACTTATATAAGATTTACAGGCTGCCCTATCACAAAAAAAGTTCTCAAGGTGGCTTGCAGGCTTAAAAACAAAGAAGTCCAACAAACAAAATTTGGTGTACATGTGTTGCAATAAAACAGGCTGCAGCCTGTTGTTGTGGTCCACCAGTAGGGCTGTTTGACTTGCGAGGTGGGGGTGCACATTTGGAAATCAATTCAAATAAAAAAATAATAAAACGCATGCGATGCGCTTGGAAGCCAGCGAGCGCCTCCGACCCCTCTGCTGCCCCACCCTCCATATAGCAGCAAAACCCTTATGAGATTGTTTGTCTGATTCTAATGCAGGTAATGTAACTCTGAGCTCAGTGATCCAAGAACAAATTTCCCAGCAGGCCGCACTTGACAAGCAGGTGTCACTCAATCATGCACATTTTCGCCTCCCCGAGAGGACAGATGGTCCCAGCCTACTTAGCAATTCCATCCTCTCTTGGCAGCCCCCACCTCAACTCTCCTGTGCAGTGCCGTAATAAAGATGCTTCGAGATTCGTGTTAATCTGCAGTCTATGGGGTAAACTGTAAACAAAGTGTGCAGAGTTATTGTTTCTCGTTATGCGACGGCCTTCTTATCTTCCCCTTCGCCTATGGCATATAGATATCTTTAATAGCCTATGCAGCCGGACTCGGCTTCGGCGGAGATTACTTGCCATAATTTTAAAGCACCAACAAAATTACTTTGTCTGAAGAGGCTTGACCTAATCTGAACAGGGCTCTGTGAAGGCAGCGAGGCTTCCTTGTTTCTCCAGACTAGACACGCAACGTCTTAAAGGGAATCATGTTGCTAGATTTTTAAGCAAAGGCATGCGTCGTGCTTGCTGATCCTCCCTTCGGAGATAGTATGGCAGTCACCCGTCTCACCTGCGTTCAAAAAAACGGGGCAGCAAGCATGGGCATCAGGGTCATTAGAAATGTGGAACGCCCTCCCACCAGATGTCAAAGTGAACAACAACTACCAGACTTTTAGAAGACATCTGAAGGCAGCCCTGTTTAGGGAAGCTTTTAAGGTTTGATGTGATAGGGAGTGTTCCCATAAGAAGGGAACAATGGCAAATTGTGTCCTCCCTAAAAGAGGGCACGTGTTGCAGTGAGACCTGGAGACTGACCTCCTGGTTGTGGGTGGGTCTGTTGGATAGCCACAACACCCGATTGGTAGGTCCCTCGTTGCTGGGTGTAATCTGGCCAATGGGGCACAGTCTAAGCGGATTGAGGGACCTATATAAATCCATGCACGTGTCCCAGAGCTTCCTCTTTCGGTTCATGCATCGGAACACCCGCCCACCTCTCCCTAATTTTAGGGCATTTTGCGATTGACCTTGTTATGCCACTGTGTGTTGTCTGTTGTTGGAACAGGGGCATGGCAAGAATTTTCCCCACTTGGCTGATTAGCTGTGGCCATTTGGGTTTCGCCTGCTGCGTAGCAATTCGTCACAGCTTGTAAGGTTGCGGATAGGCACTGGTTCATGTGATAGGGATGGGAGAATCATTTGCTGGAAGCCGCCCAGAGTGGCTGGGGAAACCCAACCAGATGGGTGGGGTATACATAATAAATTATTATTATTATTATTATTATTATTATTATTATTATTATTTCATAGAATCATGGAATTGTAGAGTCATAGATGAGCATTGCAGTGAGCAGGGAATTCCTTGCCATGTTCACTTTACTGGAGGAAAGGATTTTAACAAATACCTCCTCCGTTGCAGACAATAGAAACTATCTTCATGGTGGCTAGTTTACACATTGTTGCAGGCCACCCCAATCTCCGAGTGGAAGGGAGGAGTAGCAGCATTATATATAAAGAATGTGTACATTTGTGAAGAAATCCACGTCCTGGAGCAGATTGAGAGTATATGGGTAAGAATTGTAGGAGAGAGAAACAACAGGGACAAATGTAACAGTAGGGACAATGGTAAGGTTCTGCACTTAGGCAGGAAGAACGAGATGCACAAATATAGGATGGGGGGACACCTGACTTACTTCCAGTACATGTGAAAAGGATCTAGGGGTCTTGGTGGCCACATGCTTAACATGAGTCAACAGTGTGATGCGGCAGCAAAAAAGAAAGAAAGAAAAAGAAAGCTAATGCCATTCTAGGCTGTGTCAACAGAAGTATAGTGTCCAGGTCAAGGGAAGTGATAGTACCACTCTATTCTGCCTTAGTCAGACCACACCTGGAATACTGTGTCCAGTTCTGAGCACCACAGTTTAAGAGGGATATTGACAAGCAGAGGAGGGCAAACAAGAGGATGAAGGGTCTGGAAATCAAGCCTTATGAGGAGTGCTTGAAGGAGCTGGGTATGTTTAATAATAATAATAATAATAATAATAATAATAATAATAATAATTTATTTGTACCCTGCCCATCTGGCTGGGTTTCCCCAGCCACTCTGGGCGGCTTCCAACAAAGATTAAAAATACATCCAAATGTCACACATTAAAAACTTCCCTGAACAGGGCTCCCTTCAGGTGTCTTCTAAATGTCAGGTAGTTGTTTATCTCTTTGACATCTGATGGGAGGGTGTTCTACAGGGTAGCGGGCACCACTACTGAGAAGGCCCTCTGCCTGGTTCCCTGTAGCTTTGCTTCCCGCAGTGAGGGAACTGCCAGAAGGCCCTCAGCAATGGACATCAGTGTCCGGGCAGAACGATGGAGGTGGAGATGCTCCTTCAGGTATACTGGGCCGAAGCCATTTAGCCTGGAAAAGAGGAGACTGAGAGGAGATGTGATAGCCATCTTCAAATATCTCAAGGGCTGTCACACGGAGGAGGGGGCATGCTTGTTTTCTCCTGCTCTGGAGGGTAGGACTCGAACCAATGGCTTCAAGTTGCAAGAAAGGAGATTCTGACTAAACATTTCTGACAGTAAGAGCTGTTCAGCAGTGGAACAGACTCCCATGAGAGGTGGTGGACTCTCCTTCCTTGGAGGTTTTTAAACAGAGTTTGGGGGGCCATCTGTTGTGGATGCTTTAGCTGAGATTCCTGCATTGCAGGGGGTTGGTCTAGATTCCAGGGATTTCATGTGCTTATATCCGGGGTTTGGTTTCCTCTGAATGAGGGACAGCAGAGACTGTGGTGTCTATGTTGGCATGGAACCAAGGAAACGGGGGCAATTGGCAGGCCCCCAGCTGGCTCCAGTCCACCAGCCGGTGTGCGGGGCGATCTCCAGTCCTTGGTGTAGCATCTGCAACTCATGCTTCAGAAGCTAGAGCACGCTACTCAGCAGAGTAAACATTACGCAACAGAAGTGGCAGGAGAAGTTGTGTGAGCATATTCACAAGCAGCTTATTCAGCATACAGCAGGACAAAAGGAAACATATCTGATCCCTTTCATGTCCAAAGCAAGAAGTGGCAAAAGCAAAAGCTATACACAAACGGAAGTTCCCAGCAAGCTGTGTTGGAGTGTAAACAGACATGTGACATACGACAATTCCACACGTCTGTTCTTAAGGTGGAATGGAATATCCCAACAGTCTACCCCCCCCCACCCCGAGCCAACGATGGAGGGGGTCACAGAGTCAACACCCTAAGTGGATCTAGCTTCTCCCATAGCCACAGCCTTGGATTCCAGCAGAAATCAGGCATGGCTCTGTCTCTCAGCTGCCCAGCCTGCTGGTTGCTTCTAGCTTCTAGCTCACACAGAGAGCTCTGGCTTTTGTCTTTCTACTTGGGCACCACCCATTTTTTTCTGGCATGGAGCCACATTCTTTGTTACTTTAATGACCCATACTTAGTCCATTACCCATACTTAGGCCTGGCTATTCCAGCAATGGAATCCTTATTGCTTCCAGGAATTAGAAGGAACTCAGGCATACAGCCTCCCCTCCACCTAACACATAACAATATTTTATTTATTTTGGTTGCATGGGTTTTGGCATTCAAACCTCTTTTTTGTTGCGACCTCTTTTTTCTGTTACTTGGAAAAAGCACCCCTGGCTTCACCGTAATCTTGCTTTGCAAGTTGATGATGGGGGGGGGGAGGCAGGGGATGGGATCCCAGGGGTTTTGAGAGGATGGTTTAAATGCAAGGGACCATCTTGCTAAGCTGTTAGCGGGTCATAGCCAGTGGGAGGTCATAGCCCATAATGGTAGGGAATTGTGCAAATATCGAGTGCATGGTAGCTGGATAAGTAACCAGATAAATAGACATTCAGGCGACATCCACTTCACATTCATGTTATGTATTTTGTTTCAGGGCATCCGGCAAGAACCACTCCTGGAGTGTATACTTTGGGGAAAATACCCTACATCTAAGGCATCAGGTCTTCATTAGCAAAGAAGAGAGAAGCAGACTGACAAGCTGCCCTTGTTATACCGAGCAGCCTGTAATCCTTTCTTCAGCTCTGCACCTTTCTCAGGAGTGCAGAGAAGAATGGTTTTCAGGCTGCCCATATACCAATATTTGTGGGTTTGTTTGTTTGTTTAAAGAAAGGACCAATGCCAACCACTGTTTCCATTTTGACCAGGAGTGCATATAAAGGGACTCCTGTAAAAAATGAAGGATTTTGATTTGCAATGAAATGAAGCCTTTGCATATTGTGTTATCGAGAACCTTTGAGCAGAACCTTTTGCACTGCACAACTGCCAGCATCCATGATGGCAAAAGAAACTAGGGGTGGGCGAAGCAGCCCATTTCTGCTCTGTGTCACTTTCCACATGTGTTCATGTCCTTTCTGCACCGATCTGCAGATAAGATCTGTGTTGATAATCTGTATTTAAGTACAGGGGACAGCCATTGTGTGTGTCCTCCTTCCCAGGGGATCTGGGTGCAGTCTTGATACATGCAAAACACCTGAAAGGGCCTCATTTGAAAGTCTGATATATCCTTCTAGGAGGCGACAACAAGGAATAGGAGAAGCAGGACCAGTCCTACTGTTAGACAGGGGGAGGCAGCTGATGTTGGATATTGTGAAAGGGCAGTCAATTGTTAGTTTAACATACACAATTGTTGTATTAGTATCACCAGGGAGGGGGCAGCTGCTTGTGAGATATTTTGCCTGGCTGGGAGACTTTCTGGAAACCTCAGGTAATCCTGCCTTGAGTTCCATGATGGGAGAAGCTCTTCTTATGTTGCAACTGGAAAGCGCTGCATGCTTTGTTGCACTCCAAAGGAGTAGATCAGGCCCCAGATCAGATTGGAAGGGGGAGCTGTGTACAGCCCTATTCTTAATACACCATCTTCCGTTCAAAAACAAGATGGGTTAATTTGGAACATGGGATCTAGGGTGAAATTCAGGTGAGAATTGGAGAGATATTCATTTGAAATATTTCTTATTTCAAGGTTCTGTGATGCAAACAGGAAAACAAGAGGAAACAGAACAGAACAGATCATTGAGAGCCAGTGTGGTGTAGTGGTTAAGACCGGTAGTCTCGTAATCTGGGGAACCGGGTTCGCGTCTCCGCTCCTCCACATGCAGCTGCTGGGTGACCTTGGGCCAGTCACACTTCTTTGAAGTCTCTCAGCCCCACTCACCTCACAGAGTGTTTGTTGTGGGGGAGGAAGGGAAAGGAGAATGTTAGCCACTTTGAGACTCCTTAAAGGGAGTGAAAGGCGGGATATCAAATCCAAACTCTTCTTCTTCTTCTTCTTCTTCTTCTTATAAGAAGCTGCAGCAGAACAGTGAAGAAAGTCTAGGATGAGGATGTAGCTGGAGCGAGTCTCCCTGTAGTCTCATGTCTCATGCACAGAAGGAGTCTTGCCTCTCAGTAGTACAGCCTGAAATAACACAGCTTGGAATGAGAGTTACAGTTTGAAGCACTGGATTTTCCATCTCTCTGCGATCCTCCTGGGCTAGGCAAAGCTACAGCCACTCAGAGGATTTGCTTAATCCACAGCACGTTGCACTGGCTGTGTTCAGTCACATCATCAACATTTCGATTTTGAATTAAAAACCTGGTTTCAGCTGAGGCTCAGCGAGAGGTGACACAGTGCTAGGAAAAAGAGGGTGAGAGACTGAATTACAATTTCAAATCACCGGCCACCCAGGGCAGGAGCAAAGGTTGCCTTGCTGAGCCCCCTTGGAGCTTCGTCCTTTGCTTCCAGGCAGCAGCACCAGAGAGTGCAAGTAGTCGGGGGGGGGGGATACCATGTGAAAACGCCATTATAATGATGTCAGATTCCACTCTGAAGGGGGAAAGAGTGAGACAGGCAGCAAAAGGCTGTCATGCGTCAATCACATTAACAGAAGGAAGCATACACGTTTCCGCTAATATAACATGAAGATCCGATCTTAGAGCGCTAATGATGGACCCAGGCAAGCTAGGAAACCTCCGAAACTCTCCCCTATTTCTGTTAAAGATGCCGAATTGAAACTGGCTTGCAAGGGGCAGTTTAAAATAACAATGCAATTAAAAGAAAGTGGTATTTGGACATCTTTCTTGGGACAATGATCTGGAGAATGGTGACTAGCAAGATGTCTAGTCTTTTTCCTTTCGTCCCAGAATGATGGTGGACTATGGTTATGTCCACAAGGTTTGCACATCCTTTTTCTGGAGAACTACATTTTAAAATTCAGAGAAGCGAAAATTTCAAAGGATATGGCTGTGTTCGGTGCTCGTATTGTTTCAGAAAGCGAAAATTCGGCATGTTCTCCTTTAAATGTGAAGTGGATCAAATTTCTCTTCCTATCCGTACCGTACCATAACAAATACTTCTCGCCCCTCGTAAGTGGAATACTTGTTGGCAGCCATGTACAATAATGGTGCATTGATCTCTTTTTCTCTTCCAGCCGGCGCTAAAGTCTGAAACACCAAGCAAACTAAAAAGACCTCATTAACTCCACCTATCAACAACGCTATTATAATGAATAAGAAAGTGGGAGGCATGGGGGGGTCAACCTTTCTTTTTCTCCTTTTTAAAGCTCCAGCATCATCTCTCAAAACAGGTCCCCTCTCTCATTATCTCAACCCTGCCTAGGAGAAAATCAATAAACAATTTGCATTTTTTATCAATATTTAATGTCAGGCTGTAGGATCCCTTTGAAAAGCTCAGGTCCTCGTGAGCCTCTCAACTCCCCATACATATACATTTCTATATAAATATATATATTTTAAACATGACAGAGACTAAACGCCCAGCATGTGCTCAGGTGCTAGGGTCAGTTCTAGTTAAAAAAAACACAACCCAAAACGTTAGGGATTGCTCCATCCCATCCCCATGTCCCCAAATAAACTGCAGCTGCCCGTCTGAGGGCAGGAGCAGTAGCAATCGGGGGGAGCGTGGTGTTGAATTTTAATGATTTGTAGAAGACAAATGAGGTTGCACTGCCACGCAATTAGCGGGCAGTCGAAAGATGTGTTGGGTCTTAAATGAGGGACATGATCTCCTCTTGACTCGCAGTGTGCAGAGAGCCCTCCCTGTGAAGACCATAATGAGGAAGGTAGATGAGATCCCTGGAAGGCTGACAGAACAATTACACAGTGGGGAAATGGCTGTTGATGCCAAACACAACTCTCTCCCCTCCCCCCCACCAGCCGCATATTAATGCCAACCTGAATTCCACTTCGTCGTTTGCAGAAACATGAAAACAGACTCCTCCATTGGCTAGGCGGGCTTCCGAGAGTGAACATGCCGAGAACTCGGTGTTTGATTTCCTGCGACTTGTGAATCGGGACAATAATGTCTGCACAGTTGCAATTTCACAATGAGTGTCTCAGGCAGCGTGTTCACAGGACTTCATTCATGCCCATGCTTGGTTGCCCAGGCTAAGCCCTGCAGCCTCCTTCAAACCTGGAGCTCATATCATAACATTCTCAATGTCGAATCTCTTTTTAAAGCCGTCTAAGCTTAGGGTCAGGGACGCGGGTGGCACTGTGGGTTAAACCACAGAGCCTAGGACCTGCCGATCATAAGGTCGGCGGTTCAAATCCCCGCAATGGGGTGAGCTCCTGTTGCTCGGTCCCTGCTCCTGCCAACCTAGCAGTTCGAAAGCACGTCAAAGTGCAAGTAGATAAATAGGTCCCACTCCGGCGGGAAGGTAAACGGCGTTTCCGTGTGCTGCACTGGTTCACCAGAAGCGGCTTAGTCATGTTAGCCACATGACCCGGAAGCTGTACGCCGGCTCCCTCAGCCAGTAAAGCGAGATGAGCGCCACAACCCCAGAGTCGGCCACGACTGGACCTAATGGTCAGGGGTCCCTTTACCTTTTAAGCTTAGGGTCATAGGTAGATCAATCATTCAATCATTGCCACATTCAGGTAGGGCTGGCAAACCCTGCAAAGCTGCTGCCAGCCAGTGTTGACAACACTGAGCTAGATGAACTAACGGCTTAGCTCCATGCAAGGCACCTTCCTCTGTTCCTAAGCTGGTGGTTATACATATTGCAGCAGTAAATTCCTTAAGTTAGTCACATGTAGTGTGAAGTTAACTCGTACTGCACGCTGTGTGAATTCCAGAAGTTGGCAATGTATCACACCTCTTGGTTTAGGGGGAAAGTCTTGGCACAGCGGCCCATTTACTCTTATTTAGAGTGACAAATAGGTGCTGCAAAATGTAAAATTAATGCGTCAGGTTAATTTCATGCACCCCTTGCCTCAGACCGATTAGTGCAAATTAAATTTCATGCTCATCAGCCGGAGTCATCACAAATGTTCTGCAGTAACCTGCGGATTTGTGATGATCACAGTAGCAAAGCGTCGGGGGCTGTTTGCCCAAACGGTGAATGGCAAGGAAAGATTTTGACCACCGTAATGAGAGAGCTGAGCAGTTGTTCAATAAATAATGAGTGTTTTCTGCAAATGGAGAACATTAAACTGCTCCACTCACCACAGTAACGGGATGATGGTCATTACATGGACGAATGGTCTGATCTTGTTATAACAACAGCCCTAGAATATTTTTTATTCTTTTTGCCTTCCCTTGGTAAAATGTTGTATACATTGACATCAGATTCTCAGGTGGTTTTAATCAGAACCAGGGCATGAAAGTGGGTTTTGCTCATTCTTTTGTGCATGGTGGGTGGGAGAAAACAACTTTATTCCTTTTGAGACAGCTCGGGGGTGGAGAACTGGATTCTTCTGTCTCCCACCTAGCACAGGCCAGCCTTGACAGGAATAATAGAATTGTGGAGTTGGAAGGGACGCTAAGGACAATCTAGTCCAATCCCCTGCCATGCAGGCATCTCAGCTAAAACATCCATGACAGATGGCCATCCAACTTCTGCTTAAGAACCTCTAAGGAAGGAGAGTCCACCACCTCCTGAGGGAGACTGTTCCACTATCAAACAGCTCTTACTGTCAGAAATGTTTAGTCAGAATCTCCTTCCTTGTAACTTGAAGCCATTGGTTTGAGCCCGACCCTCCAGAGCAGAAGAAAGCAAGCTTGTTTGCTCTTCCACGTGACAGCCCTTGAGATATTTGAAGATGGCTACCTTATCTCCTCTCAGTCTCCTCTTTTGCAGGCTAAACATACCCAGCTTCCTCATCCATTCCTCATAATGCTTTGGAGGGCAGGACCATCAACCTATGACTCACCTGATGGGTTCCGTTAGAGTGTGATGCTGAAAATGCCAAGGTTGCAGGTTTCATCCCCGTATGGAACAGCTGTGTATTCCTGCATCACAGTGGGTTGGACCAGATGATCCTCAGTGTCCCTTCCAGCTCTATAATTCTATGAAATGGAATCGCTGTAGCCACCCATCAATGAATGGGCAGTTTCAGTGACCTCCTTTGAAGGCATACCCCCAGTGCCAGTTCAGACCAGCCAGCATGGCTTTACTTCCACATAGCATCTACAGGTTGTCAGTGTTTGAAAAAGAAAAGGTTCTGACCTCCTTTTACTTACTTATGCCTAGTCCTCAGACCTTAGTTGACACAAAAGAGTCTTTGAGAAAGAGTATTCTTGCAGAGTATTGCTGCTTTTATTCTTTAAAAGTCTTCTTCTCCAACCAGCTTTTACACGTACCAAACGTAACCAGCTTTCAACCATCCAACCAACCCACACCCAACACTAACATTAACCACTCTATATATACAGGTACAATTTGGTGAAAGGTTGCATGAGTCATTGTAGGCCACTGACTCATGCTGTCTTAGTTCTTTTAGCATTAAAGAAACAGCAGCCAATTTTTAGCTGTGACACAGGTTTCAGTTTTAGCAACTAGCAGGATGCCCAGCTAGGATGTGCATGAAAGAAGGACCAGCATATTGTTAGGATGTCAAGGAGTGCAAAGCAGCCCTGTCCGTCAAGGCTAGGCTTGCTAGTCTCAGACGTTATCAATGGGTTTTGCACTTAATGGAGCATTGTCTTCCAGGGAGGCCTAGCCCAAGACCCTTTGACACTAAAGGGTCAACAAACAAACAAACAAGGCAAACAAAAAAAATGGTGCCCCCCCCAGGGAAGAATGGGTGAGCAAAGTTCTACATCAGGAGTAAGGGGGGGGGGGGGAATAAAGATCTACTCCAGGAAGGAGGGTGGGAGAAGACCACTAGCATCTCCTATTCACCAAGAGGCTGTTGTAGAGGTGACATTAGAGGCGGGGATGGCAGATCTGGCCTCCAAGGAGCATGCCACAGCTGTTGCTGCCACCATGGCTGTGGCAGCAGGTGGTGCATTCCTTGGAGGCTGAATTGCTGCCCTTGTGGGTCTTGCTGCCTGAGGCACGCACCTCACCATGCCTCATGGGCGGGCTGGCCCTTCTTCTAGGTCCTGATATGAGTGAATGGGATCTATTCACCTAGATGGGAAAAAGTAAAGGACTGCAGTGACTTCATTAGGATAGTTGGCTAAGTTTGCCTGCTACCCTTTAATAACAAAAACAATTTTAATATTTATACGCCACCCATTTGACTGGGTTGCCCCAGCCACTCAGGGTGGCTTCCAGCAAAATATAAAAAAATGCAATAAAACAACAAGCATTAAAAGCTTCCCTATACAGGGCTGCCTTCAGATTTCTTCAGAAAGTCATAGAGTTGTTTATCTGTTTGAAATCTGATGGTAAGCCGCTGCCAGTCATTCTAAGCAACGCTGAGATGGATGGACCAAAGGTCCAACTATGTTTAAGGCAGTTTCCTAAATCAGGGATGACTAACCTGTTTTTTTGGTCTGGAAGATACATCAACCCATTGCAAAAAAACCTTCCACAGGCTGCATGTCACTCCACATCCTTGCACACCCAATTGTATGCTCTTGCACATGCCTGCATGCAAACATACACACACGTGTCACACATAGATGAGCACATAGCCTCCCACACCTCCCTAGATGGTTTGTGCAGATCAGCTGATAAAGGGGGCATTTTCCTACCCAATACAGCACTGGGCATGAAAATCACACCCTCTGTGCTCTCTGATGCATTTTTGCATATGTCCCCCAGACTTGGGGGGCATGGCTATAATCTTCCTCACCAAATGAAGTCTGCAGTGAGGCTCATTCTTCATCCATTTCATATAAACTGTGCGTGACATTAGTGCTTTTGGGCTTGCGATCTAACATTCACGTGCATCATCATAATAATGATAATTTATTACTTATACCCCGCCCATCTGGCCGGGCCACTCCAGCCACTCTGGGCAGCTCCCAACAGAATACTAAAAACACGATAAAACATCAAGCATTAATAATAATAATAATAATAATAATAATAATAATAATAATTTATTATTTATACCCCGCCCATCTGGCTGAGTTTCCCCAGCCACCCTGGGCAGCTTCTAATTGAGTGTTAAAAACAATACAGCATTAAATATTAAAAACTTCCCTAAATAGGGCTGCCTTCAGATGTCTTCTAAAAGTCAGATAGTTGTTTATTTCCTTGACATCTGACGAGAGGGTGTTCCACAGGGTGGGCGCCACCACTGAGAAGGCCCTCTGCCTGGTTCCCTGTAGCCTCACTTCTTCCAGTGAGGAAACCGCCAGGAGGCCCTCGGAGCTGGACCTCAGTGTCCTGGCAGAACGATGGGGGTGGAGACGCTCCTTCAGATATACTGGACCGAGGCTGTTTAGGGCTTTAAAGGTCAGCACCAACACTTTGAATTGTGCTCAGAAACATACTGGGAGCCAATGTAGGTCTTTCAGGACTGGTGTTATATAGTCTCAGTGGCATCCATTCCTGAATACCTCATTCCTGAATGTGCCCTCGTAGCTGAAAAGCATGTGCTTGAAGTGATTATAACTCTTCTGCTTTGCTAGGAGGGAATCACAGTGGGATGACTCTAACTGAATCGCTGCGTGTATGAAACGACTCCCATGAGCACAACAGGATTTCCTCTCCTCACCCCTTGCACCCTCCAAATCGGCTCTAGGGATTCATCCAACCCTGTGGATTAGATGGGGAGTGAGAGGGCTGGGAAAGTCCCATTGCCTTTGTGGCAGTTGCTCCATGCAAGTAGTGTTGTAAAGTGGAATATGTGAATGGGTTGACCTGGGACTTCCAGAAGAGGAACAAGTTGTTTAGAGGGAGCACACAGAAGACCTCAAATGGGATCTCCTTCTGGGTTCCATTCGGACATGGACTGCTAAAGAAACATCTACTTCATTGCATTTGTATTTTATAATAAATTCTATCCTTTCTTTCAGGAAGCAAGCAGGCTTTAACAGCAATGGCATGCAGTTAGCAGATTAAAGACTCCTGTTTTCCCCAGCGTACTCGTGTGACCAGATTCATCCAATCTCTAATGAAAATTATAATTTCACAGCTATTGTGTTTAACAAAGCTTAGGAGACATCAGTTGTCTTATTAACATTTACATTTCATTTTTCTAATGGCTAATATTATCTCTGAGAAATTAAGTAAAGATTATTAGTATTTGAAATGAGAAAAAGAACTTTTTTTTGTCTTGTTCAACTTTAATGAATTCTGGTAGCGGTAGAAAGAGATTCATATTCTTAATGCAGCAACATGCCTCATCTTTCATGTTTGCAACATGAAGAAAGCTTTGCTTAATGTGCTATTATAATTATGTTTATTGTGGGAAATTGGGCGGTGGTGGAAGACAGAGCCTCAAATGATATTTTTATGATATGAACTAAAGAAACAATATCAAATGGTGAAGAACAACTGGGTTAGTTTTATACTTCTTCTAGGAAGGTTGGAACTAGATATTCAAATCCAAGTGATCAAGGCGGCTGCCAACCAGCCAGTCAATTATGCCATTTTCAAGGATACACCATTGCCCCTCTGGTTTTCTCTTTCCCTTTTCTAAAAGACACTCAGTTTTCTGTGACCCCTGAGTACACTTGGTCTTCATTGGACTCTTTTTTGGAGTTTGTGGGTTGCATCAGAGATTACTGGTTCTCGTTTGCAAAGCTTTATACGGCTTGGAACCAGGACACCTAAAATATGGTATTACTTCTTATATACACAATCAATCACTTCAGTCTGCAAATGCTATGAAAATGTCTTAACTGTTTTAGTTTTTTTGCTTTGTTTTTCTTTTTAAATTGTACATCTGTTTGCCACCCTGGGCTTCTTTGGGTGGGATCTAAACACAATAAGTAAATAAAATAAAATAAGGCTCGCCATATTCAGAACCCTTGTATATATACTTTTCCGTCGCTGAACAAAAGAACTTTTCTTTTGTTGACACTGAAGTTAATCCTAGAGCTTTCAGAGATCTGTGCTCACTTGACAGAAGATGGATGGGCTCAGATTTAAGGACCCCCCCCATTTCTCTGAGAGTCGTTTCTTTATCTGATCCAGCTGAGAAAATCCTTTAAAAGATACATGAACACCCTCTCATCTGTAAGAAATAAATATGAAGAAAGGGGAGAAAAACTTCATAATCCTCGATTAGTATTTCTTAGTAAAGACCTTTAGGCAAATCTACATATAAATGGAACCATTCTCTGCATATGTTCTGCTTGGGCAGAACAAGTGAGCTTCCTCTGTAAAAATAATGGGGGCAGGTAGAGGTGTATCATGAAGAATGATGGACGGCGAGTAAATTAAACACCAGAAAAGAGATGGGGCATTGAGAGAGCTTAGTATGTTTGTTTTCCTGATGATTTGTCATTTTGTGTCATACAGGCAAGGGACATATGACCTCACAGCCTGCTTTTGCAATGTGTGGCTTCATCTTGAGAGGTGACACGGTGACTCCAATGAACAGTTTGTACCTGGGGCAGGATGTGAGCATTTGCCTGGTTCACCCTCATATGGAATTAGAGAACTAATATGAACATGACTTGCGTCACCTGATGAAATGGGTGGAACTTTGTGATAAACCTGACCCTCTGCGATGTGCAGAACCTGTTTTGTCAATGGTTGTGTGTCAAATGGACTGGTCACGTTGTGCGGATGCCTGACGATCATCTTCCAAAGCAACTACTCTATTCCAAACTTAAAAATGGAAAGTGTAACGCTGGTGGTCAACAAAAGAGGTTTAAAGACTGTCTCAAGGCAAATCTTTAAAAATGTAGTATAAACACCGACAACTGGGAAACACTGGCCCGCCAGCGTGCCAGTTGGAGAACAGCTTTTACTAAAGGTGTCGTGGACTTTGAAGACACTCGAAATCAGAATGCAAGAGAGAAATGTGCTAAGAGGACGGCATGCTTGGCAAATCCACACTGTGATCAACTCCCACCCGGAAACCAATGCCCCCACTGTGGAAGGACATGTGGTTCCAGAATTGGCTTCCACAGTCACTTATGGACTCATTGTTAAAACCATGTTTATGGAAGACGGTTCTTACTTACTCAGCTGCGAGGGATCGCCAGAGAAGAAGAAGAAGACGGTACCTGCTCTGACTCCATCATTATGAATAAGGACTGTGAGAAAATAACCATGGAAATTACCTGTGATGAGAGAGCTGGTCTACTGTAGTGGCTAAGAAACTGAGCTATGTACCAGCAGTTCCCCCGGTTCAATTTTGTTTCTGCCACAGCCTTGCGTGCAGAAGGCCCAATCCCTGGAATGGGAGTACAGAGAAATACAGACTCAATGCTGGATCAACACCCACAAGGGGGAAAATAGATAATATAATCTCAAAATTAAATGTGGCTCATTTCCTTCCTTCTATATGTAAAAACCTGCAGGCTGCAGTGCCTAATAATAATAATAATAATAATAATTTATTATTTATACCCCACCCATCTGGCTGAGTTTCCCCAGCCACTTTGGGGAAAAACACTCCTAGTTTTGTGCAGGTTCTAAGGAAAACAGAATGAAATTGTAGACCTAAATCGTCTAGGGCCTTCTGGTTCCCTCACTGCGAGAAGTGACACTACAGGGAACCAGGCAGAGGGCCTTCTCAGTAGTAGCGCCCGCCCTGTGGAACACCCTCCCATCAGATGTCAAGGAAATAAACAGCTATCTGACTTTTAGAAGACACCTGAAGGCAGCCCTGTTTAGGGAAGTTTTTAATGTTTGATGTCTTATCACTTTATTTGTTGTTGTTGTTGTTGTTGTTGTTCTGTTGGGAGCCACCCAGAGTGGTTCGGGAAACCCAGCCAGATGGGTGGGGTATAAATAATATATTATTGTTGTTGTTGTTGTTGTTATTGCTGTTATTATTGTTATTATTATTATTATTAAATTCCCCCCCCCCCCGGGAGTATAGGGAAGAAGGGACGAGATCATCTTGGTAATGCCCCATTCTTCTAATTCTCCATTCACTTTTGTCCTAGTCCTGGAAGAGAGGCAACAGATTGCCAGTCCTGGCTTTTTCGCCTTTTCTCTTGATAAATTTGGCCTGAGCCTAAAATTGAAAAGAAACCCTGTTTTTTATTATTGGAGACAAATCTAGCAAGCAGGAAGCATATGTTGGGCTTTGGACCCCATGCTGAGGAGTGGGAGCTGGAGGCTCTCTCACACCAATCAGTTAACTTCAAACAATAGCCTCCCGCCCCCATTCACATGGGACAGGGAGGCTGTGCCATTAAAGTTCAGCCAGGGGAGGTCTCTAATGCCACGAGCAGCAGATTGTGACAAAATGTCACCGGGAACCAACAAATCATCATCATCATCCAAATGGGGTGGGGGTGGGGGGGATAGGTGGAGGAGCCTGGAGGGAAGGAGAAATAATCAATAGGCAAGATATCAATTTGCATTTCGCTCAATGCGAAAAGAAAGAACGAAAATATATCGACAAGGCAGGGGGGAAAGGGGGAGCCAGCCACGGGGCTGTCTTATAAAGGTTTACTGTGAAATCTTTAATGCTACTTTGCAAATGTGATCTCGGCGATAATTGCACAGCTTGGGAAACTTGGTGTTTATTTATTTTGCTCTCTCCAAAGGGCAGCATGTGGAGCATTGATCGGCATTAGAAATGATAATGAGGTTATTTTGTGCCTCGGTGGAATGCCTTAACTGTTTGTGTGCTCCTCATAAATCAGAACTAAAGCACCAGAAAGGCAAGGTGCACTGATTTCTTTCTCTCTTTTTTTGAAAGGCCTATTCTTTTGTGATTAGAAATTAGGACCCATTCGGTGCAGCCATGGAGTTTCATGTTGGTTAGGCAACAATGCAATCCCAGAATCTCAACAGTGGAGTTCCAGCTGGGGCATTGCTAGCCCTGGACCTTTTGAGCCAACCCAATAGCAGTTCCCCTGGATCTTCTTCTTGGAGGGGACATAACAGTATGTAAGGAGCATAGTGGTTAGCTAAACTTTACAGGTAAATTGGCAAAGTAATACAGGTGCAAACCATCTTGTGGTTTGTCTGCACAGGGAACTTGTGATATAAAAAGAGTAATTTTGTTTTTTTCAGTTTCTACTGAAGCTTTCTACTCTACCATTTTTAAAAATATTATAATAGACTGAGATAATCAGAAATTATTAATTTTTCCTTGTGTCCCTTAAGGGCACCCACCTCCACACATTTGCAAAAGCTAAAAATGCTAAATATTAGATACCTTCTTAAAACAACGTGGCAGTGAAAAATGAAACGGTTGTTTTATCAATACCCGTTAAGCACGGCAGGTACTTTTTGATACCTAAAAGATACTACCCTCTCCGAATGCATGCAACTAATAATATCATTATTCCATTTCTCTTTTTAAATTAAGGGAAATGAAAACCAAGCAAGCATTTGTGCCAATTTAATGTAATTTCAAGTTGCAACAATTTCTCCTTTCATCCCAGCACATATTTATCAAAAAGCTAGCACTGTAAGCAGGCAGAATAATTGCTGTAAAGCTAGGAAATGCACAGACTGCAATATATTCTGGATATAATATTTTTTCTCCTCCAGAGAACTCTGGGTGGCATTCAGAAGGTTATTCCTATGCTTTCCTTCCCCCCAAAAATCAATTAATTGAATAGGAGTGAGGCAGAAGCCATGTTCAGTGGTTATATGTATAAGTAAATACAACACATGAGAGAGGAGAGTGCTTAACAGTGTGTTAGATTTGTGTCCTTCTACGACCATCCCCATTGCCCTTCATGAGTTGGAGTAGGGGTCACCAACCTTTGGGGGCCAGTGGACACATTTGGAATTTTGAGAAAGTGCCGTTGGTGCCAATCATAAAATGGCTGCCCTGCAGTGCATGGCACAACACAAAATGGCTGCCGGAATTAAGATTGCCGGAAGAAATATCAACAACCTCAGATATGCAGATGACACAACCTTGATGGCAGAAAGTGAGGAGGAATTAAAGAACCTTTTAATGAGGGTGAAAGAGGAGAGCGC